TATTGGTAATAAAAATATCTTAGTTGATTAGCTTTGTGTGTAGAGTAGTCTTATATACCATGAGCTATGACGCATAGAAACGGGATTTGATAATTTTTTTAAAAAAAGTAGGACATCCACACGCTTAGGATATAGTGCACTAAATAAGTAATACATTAATATTTCAAATAAATAAACAATTATTTATAATAAATCAAATAAGTAATACATTAATATTTCAAATAAATAAACAATTATTTATAATAAATCATAAACATAAAAAAAAATACTTAATTTATTATTTCAATGTCACAAAAGCAAATAAAAAAAACATTTTTTTATAAATAAAAAAAACTTTAGTTGATTAACTTAGTGTAAGGAGTAGTCTTATATACCAGGAGCTATATTGTACGGATACGGGATACGAGATATGAAAACGTACGGATACGATCATTTTTAAAAAGTAAGATATCCATATACTTAGGACACGCTGCACTAAATAAGTAATGTATTAATATTTCAAATAAATAAACAATCATTTATAATAAATCATAAATATAAAATTAAAAAATACTTAATTTCTTATTTCAATATAATTACTTATTTCAATATAATTAGTTAAATTCACAAAATTATTATCACTATTGAAAATATATTAACAGTGTGTATGCATTTTTATGTAGGCATACTATGCATGGCTTTTGCTATTACATACCTTATGAAAAGTTTCGCATGATATTTAAAAAGACATATCTTAGTATCACAACTTTTCAGTATATGTCAATAAGATACAATTTATTATTTTATTATATAATTTTACTAATTTTAAATAATGGTATAAAATACTATTTCATCTTTTAATATTATCCTGCGCATCGTGCATATTATAAGGGAAAAAAAAATTATATTTTCAGGTAATATCATATAGGAGAAAAAAAAGTAAATTAATATTAATAAGTAAAAACTATTTTATTTGAAAATAAGAAAGGAATATAAGGGAAAAGAATTCCAATGATTTTCTTTTCAAATTAGAAGGAAAATAAAAAACTATAAAAATGAATTTGTAGAGAAAAATTAATTTTATTTTTCTTTTATATTCAAGAAAAATAAGTAACAAAGTTTTTACGAGAACAAAATTAGTCCCTTCTTATTTTTTCTGACTATTCATTAATAAAAAAAATAAAAAATAAATTAAAAAAAACATTTCATCACGCGACAGGAGAATGTATGCAATATGAGAATTTTAAAAAAAAGTAGAAAATACATATGCTTAGGATATATCACACTAAATAAGTATGATACATTAATATTTCAAATAAATAAACAATCATTTGTAATAAATCATAAACATAAAATAAAAAATACTTAATTTCTTATTTTAATATAATTATTAGATAAACAATCATTTGTAATAAATCATAAACATAAAATAAAAAATACTTAATTTCTTATTTTAATATAATTAGTTAAATTCTCAGAATTATTATCAATATTTAAAAATACATTAATAGTGTGTGTACATTTTTTTATACAAGTCATACTAGGGGTGTCAAAATGGGTTGCTACACGCGAAATAAATGGATTAGGGTTGAAGTTAAACGAGTTCGTGTCATAAACGAGTCACCCATTTATGATACAAATATAAACGTATTGTATTGCAGGTTAGATAAGTGACTCGTTTATTTAAGAGTAAAGAAGTAAATTTAGTGTTGAATATAAATACTCTAACTACAACCTATTTAAAAATAAAAATCTCAAATGAATTTTTTTTTAAAAAATAATACATTATGTGACCTAAACCTATGACCTATAAATAAAGGTTGAAAGGATTTAGGATTCGATTAAAAGCCTAAAATTCAGCCTAAACGTGAATTCATTTGAATTGTAGTGCGCTTGATGCTTGGCCTTTTCTAGTCCTTTCGTTTGTCATTTTGCTCTACTAAATTAATTATTTTTAAATAATGAATGGAAAGAACAAACAAAATGAAAATTTTTATCATAAAGGAAATTTAAAATTTTAATTCTCAATCAGAGTCAACCTTTTCTTTGATGTTTCTACTTAGCATTCCAGCCAATTTCTCTTTAGAAAATGCTATTTGTATCAATAATTTTATACCATCTTATTATGTCAGCTTATGTGAAATTATTTTATTCGTTGCAATTTCTTAATTCTTGAGAGCGAGAAGAAAGAGGACAGAAAAGGAAAAAAAAAAACAGAGAGAGAGACCGAGAGCTAAGAAAGAAAGATTTGAAGAGACAAACAAAGACAAAGATATTATTGGTTATTACTAAAGTTATATACAATCCAAATTTTACACATTAATAGTCACTCTCTCTCTTCTTTTCAAACCTAAACCTAAAATCGTTTTTTTTTTCCACGGGCGGCCACCGGTGAGCCCCCACTGTTAGTTACCCCTTTTTTTTATTTTCTTTTTTTTATTTTTTTCAAATAATTCTATATAGATATGAGTTATTGTCGCCCAATTATTGAGATTTGTTGTTGCCCATATATTGAGATTTTATTCTCAGATCTAATTTTGAGTTATTATTGTCACCGTTACGGTGATTTTGTCTAGCATCTTTTGTTATTTGGATAGTTATAGAGAAATAAGTGCAGATTTCTAGAAGAAATTTAAAGGTAATAAGATCGGACTTATAGAAAGGCCATGGAATCGAACATTGGTCATGAATAACCACCGAGTGGAGCAAGTGATCGCCGATGACATAAATATTATGCTCTTTTAACTCGATCAGATATTTCAAATTAATATTGTGTTTTTTTATTTTTTGCATCAAGGTTAGGTGATTTCAAACTAAGCGCTCAATTCTATGCTTTAACTCGGTCAATAAGTTTAAGTGCCTAAAATAACAAATGATAAATAATAAAATAAATAAATAATTATAAATAAAATAGAATAAATTCTTTAAAATACTATTAAAAATGGTAGCATAAATTTATGGGGCACATCTGATAGAATTCATAATAATTTTCGGTACTTCATTGTAAGTTAATTAAGAATTAATTTTATTTTATGGATTAAAGAATATATTTAATAGAGAAAATGGACAGGATTAGGCTCTGCTGAAGGACTAATTGATTGCCAATCATTCAAAAATATTTAATCAACTGATATTCCAAGTATGTATCCAATAAAATTTTTAATTACAACTCTAATAAAAATTCTTTCATATTAAACCTCCTAATTAGGTATATAATATCAATTTATCTAATTTAATTATTTATCATTCTTTTACTTAAGTATCGATGTGGTTACATGTTTAAGAACCTCTCTTTACTCTTCATTTTTTATATGTCTTACAGATTTTTACATGGGTGTTATATATCTATTTTCTGAATGTAATACTATAGGCCACCTAGGCAATTAAACTCGAATTGATGGTTCAAAATTTTTAAAATATTGAATCTAAACCAGATATTGAACCGTTAATTCTGGTCCAGTTTTAATTCTGGCGCATTTCCAATTACGGTTTCCTGAGATATATGCATCTTTATAAAGAAAAAATAAAAATTTGATTTTAAGATCATATCTTTATTTCGAAAAAATTAATATGAGTTTAAAAAAATACTGATAAAGTTTATTTTAAATAACTTTTAGAATGTTTATACTCATATAAGAAATAAAACTAATCATTTTTATAAAATAATTAAATAAATTATTATGGTATTTTGTCTAAATATTATTAATTAAATAAATTGTTAAAAAAATTTGAAAATGCTTCAAACAAAGTAATTTTGAACTACGAAAAAATTTAAAAAGAAAAATGTTAAACTCCATTATTTGTATCAAACAATATACTTTTAGACTAAATATTTTACTTTTTTTTTTTTACCATTTTGCTTTTTTAAATTTTTAACTTTTAAGTAAAGTGTATTTTCAAAAAAAAAAAAAAAAGAAAAAGAAAAATTATTAAGTAAAATGTATCATGTAGTAAAAGATTATATAAACTTTAAGAGGTGTATAATATGCTAAGTGATTTTACATTTGAAAATAAGAATAGAAAATTTTTGATTTGAATCAGACCGAAACCGCCGGTTCTGAGACGATTCAAGTTCAACTGACAATTTTGATTTGGTTTCTATTCATCTGTGGTACTATTCAATTTCAGTTTGATTCTAGTTCGAATTGAACCGGTAGCTATGCCTATTGCCACCTAAGCAAATCAATAACACTCAAATCTAATTCAATCTTAGCAATGCTATTTACTGATACATCCATCGCATTTACAATTTTATCCCAAAAACCTATATCTTTTTTTTTTTTTGACATTTAATATTGGGTATTTAGTATTAAGAGAAAAAACGAGCAATACAAGTGGGAACAATATCCCAAGTTCGAAAACAAGCCCCGTGAGGAACTGATTTAGCCAATACATGAGCTATATTAAGATGAAAAAACGAGCAATACAAGTGTGAGTGGGAACAATATCCCAAGTTCGAAAACAAGCCCCGTGAGGAACTGATTTAGCCAATACATGAGCTATATCATTTGCTTGTCTTCTTATCCAAACCAAGGTGACATTTGGCAATTGGACTAATAATAGCTTACATTCAGAAATAACTACGCCAAACTCAGACCAATCTTGGACAGAATTCCGCATAGCACAGTAAACCTGCAGACAATCGGTCTCGATCTGAATCTTCAAGCTGGAGTAGCTCGATAGCAACCAAGACAACACCGTTCTTAGCGCCTGAGCTTCTGCTACTGCTGGAGAAGAACAACCTTGCAATGAAGACGTTGCTGCTGTTGCTGCTGATACAAACCCGCTATTACAATTTGAAATTATAGCGCCAACGGCTCCATGGCCAACAGAGGGGAGAAGAGTTGCATCAAAATTGATTTTAAAAGTACCAACAGGTGGTGGAAACCATTGACTACCTGCAGGAGCATCTGTACCTGTACTTGGGCCTGGCGGCTTCAGCTGGGCTTTCTTCCAAGATGCGAGCATACTTCTGGCTCGAGTAACCACATGATAAGGTCCTTCTTCCACTTGATTCCATTTCAGCTCATTACGTTCCATTTCAGCTCATTACGGCTTGACCAAACACTCCATAGTCCCATAACAAAACTTTCAAAAAATTCGTTCTCCCACAGCTTGTGTAAATGCTCCAACAGTTGCAAGAAAGTCGGAATATTCCCAGTAGGAAGCTGAATACCAAAAAACTGCCAACAAAAGCTCACTCGTGGACACTCAACAAGAGTATGGACCAACGTTTCAGTGTTACCACAGTAATCGCATCCTATATCAAGTTCCAGTCCCCTTCTTGCCAAAGTTGCTTTAACTGGCAGAATGTCTCGACAACACCTCCAGAGAAAATGCCTCACTTTTGGCGGGATTTTCAGTGACCAAAGAATTTTCCAAAAACTCGACCGCCAAACAGCTTCAGGATCCACATATTGAGATGCTACTAATCTGTATCCAGATTTCACAGAGTATATCCCAGAGTCTGTCCAATGCCATATAAGGATGTCGTCCTGAACGTTTGTAGCTAAAGGAATAGAAGTAATAATGTCAGCAATGGAAGGATTGAAAAGACCATGAATCAGTGGCAAATTCCAAGCACGTGCAAATTCCAAAGCACGCACTGCCCCATGTGCCAAAATTAAGATCACAAAATAAGATCAGAAACCCGTATATGCTCAAAACCAGGAAGAATAGGCAAGTGAACCCGAAACTGATTATCCCGCAATAGCCACGGTTCGGTCCAGACGTTAACCGATTGACCATCTCCGATTCTCCACCGAAAACCTGAACATATAGCATCCTTGGCTGCACAAATCCCTCTCCAAACAAAGCTTGGATTACGGCCAACGCCTGTACCAAGAAAATCCCCACTAGGGAAATATTTAGATTTGAAAGAGCTATAAAAGAGAGAGTTTGTATTATGTAAAAGCCTCCAGCAGTGCTTTCCTAGTAAGGCCAGATTGAAACTTCGCAAATGTCTAAAACCCAAACCTCCTTCTTCCTTCGCTACACACAACCTTTCCCAACTCAACCATCTCATCTTTCCTCCCCACCAATAGGAATTCATGAGCCGCTGAAGCTCCGTTAAAATGGATACTGGTAGAAGGAAAGAACTCATACAGAATGAGGGAATAGCTTGTGCTACAGCCTTTATTAGTACCTCTTTACCCCCTTTGGATAGGAGTTTCTGATTCCAACCACTACAGAATGAGGGAATAGCTTGTGCTACAGCCTTTATTAGTACCTCTTTACCCCCTTTGGATAGGAGTTTCTGATTCCAACCACTGACCAACTTCCTCACTCGATCCTTCAAGAAAGAAAAAATATGTCTCCTGTCCCTACCAATTAAAGATGGTAGACCAAGATACCTACCATGGTTTAAAGGAGCAATCACACCAAAAACTCCTTGGACAGCAGTCTTATCCATCTCAGAAGTGTTAGAGCTGAAAAAAATACCAGATTTTTGCCAATTAACCGCTTGACCTGAAGCTGCTTCGTAAGTAACTAGAATAGTTTTAATCTCCAAAGCTTGAGTCCGTGATGCCTCAAAAAAGAACAAACTATCATCCGCAAATAACAAGTGAGATAACCGAGGAGCAGCTCTCGAGACTCTACAGCCTTTGAGGCGACCTTCACGTTCAGACTGATAAAACAGCTTTGACAGTCCTTCAGCACAGAGAATAAATAAATAGGGCGATAATGGACAACCTTGTCTCAACCCCCGTTCTAGAATAATTGGGCCAACCTCATCCCCATTCACTCCTATCCAGTACTTAACTGAGGAAACACACAGCATGATCAAGTCAACCCAACGCTGGCTAAAACCCAAGCCCTGCATAACAGCTCGTAAATAACACCAATTAACTCTGTCATAGGCTTTGGAGATATCAACTTTCAATGCAGAAGCACCTTGTCAACCTTTCATTCTTGTTTGCATAGAGTGGATTAACTTGAAAGCAACTAACACATTATTTGAGAGCAACCGACCCGGAACAAAAGCCGACTGAGATAATGAAATAAGATTAGGCAGAATGGTCTTCAGCCTGTTCGCCAGAACCTTAGCAAACACTTTGTAAACGACATTACAAAGTGAAATAGGTCGAAAATCCTTCACTGCCTCTGGGTCCTCTACTTTCGGAATCAACACAATTAAGGTATCATTCAGATTGTTTGGAAAAACGCCTGTATTGAACCAGTCTCGAAAACTTGTGACAACATCGTGACCAACAACATCCCAAAACCTGTGGTAGAATCTAGGATTTAGACCATCCATCCCTGGGCTTTTATCTGCATGCATCTGTTTCACAGCCAAATTTACCTCATCCACCGAAATATCTCCAAGTAAACGAGAATTGTCATTATCCCTCCAAGTAAACGAGAATTGTCATTATCCGAAACCAAAGGAGAGAATAAACCCACAACAGGACGTAAGTCAACATCCCCTGCCTCAAATAGATTTACAAAATAATCACTCACCATACCTTTCAGCAAATTGTTGTCACTTATCCACTCGCCATTAGCATCCTTCAACCTAAAAATCTGCTTCGATTTTTTCCGTTTTTTAGCAGTTGCATGGAAATACCTAGAGTTTATATCCCCCGATTGCAACCAATGGGATTTTGCTCTTTGAGACCAGAAGACCTCTTCACGGTGCAGAACATCATCAAGCATACGTTGCACAGCTTCAAACTGTTCATTATTACCGCTGATTCGAAGATTCTCAAGCTGCACTGTCAACTTCTTTGCATCCTGCCGAAACCGAAGCTTTAATCTCCTACCCCAGCTCTGTAAGCGTTCGCCACAAACTTTAATCTTCCCTGTTACATCAACACCCTCATGACTAGTCCAATCTCTCTAACCACATTATCTACATCAGATTCATCTAGCCAAATATTCTCAAACCGGAAAACGTTGATGTTCTCCGATTTTCAATTCTGGGAGAAGTGATAATTAAAAGAGGAGAGTGATCAGATCTGCTTGAGACTAAGTTCTGGACTAGATAATTCGGAAAATGATTCTGCCAAGTGATGTTTCCCAAAGCTCTGTCTAATCTTTCCTCCACCCGGTGTTGACCTCTACCATGAGCCCAAGTAAAAGGGTACCCAGTCATTCCTAGATCAACTAGACCACAATCAGCCACAGTATCCGAGAAACCCTGTAATAAGCATGGAGGGTGAGGATGACGCCCTTTCTTTTCTGCAGCAAACATGAGGTCATTAAAATCGCCACAAATTAGCCAGGGAAGATGTTCCAATCCAGCTAAGGAGCGAAGGACATTCCATGAAATTTGCCTACGGGATCTTTCCGGCATACCATAAAAACCAGTGAGACGCCAAATAAAACCTTGAGCTTCCCTAATTTTCATATCAATAAAATGTGAAGAATAACGGATAACTTCTAAATGAACCTGAGAATGCCATAAAATTGCTAAACCACATGCCATTTTAAAAAATTGAATGCCATAAAATTGCTAAACCACCACTATGTCCAACCGCATCCACAGCAAAACAACAATTGAAATGAAATTTGCAGCGGAGCTGCTCAATTTTATTCAAAGCAACTAGAGTTTCGGACAAAAAAAATAATAGTTGGCTGATTGCATCGGATAAGTTCATAAAGCGCATTTACTGCTCGAGGGTTGCCAAGTCCTCGACAATTCCAACAAAGAATATCCATGGTTCAAAGATAGCATCTGGTTATCAAATGACAGCCAAAGTAAACTGCATAGCATCCAAGTTCGAATGCACATAGCAAACTGACCATAATATCAATAGAAAAAAGCCGTTAATGCAAAAATGCAAGACAGCTCACATGCACAAAAGGCAAGACTTACAATTTTATAGATCTTGATTATGAAGAAGATCAAAAAAACACCCGAATGAGAGCAACCAACTGTGTTCAGAAATCAAGCCGCCCACAAGCCACAAGAGAATTTGAAACTAAAAAATTTGTATCAAAACAAAGAGTCTGCCAAAACTGCCTTCTTTTGAATACCAAGGGTCCAAGAAGCCCTGATGTGCAGAGTTGCAGCAATACCCACAAACAGCAATGCTATCTGCTTCCCTGTGTTCATGTTTTTTTTTTTTTTTTTTTTTTTTTTACAAGATGGCACGTTCCTGGATGTCTCTTTAAGCGCATGGTTGCGCCAAAGCATGGCCTTTAATTGGCAGGGGGTGAGCGGACTGTGTTTTGAGAGGGGATGATGGAGTTGGATTTTTTTTTTTTTTTTTTTTTTTTTTACACATTGACAATGGCCGTCCTGGATGTCTCTTTAAGGCGCTGGTGCGCAAAGCATGCCTTAATGGCGGTGGCGGACTGTGTTTTGGAGGGGATGATGGAGTGGAGGTTTGTTAAGCGGAAAGAGCTGTGCTTGCAGGAAAAATCGAAGGGAAACGATCTAATTCTCACAGCAACATGAACGCTAATGGAGGTCAAGAAATCATGAACGCTGCAACAACAAAAGCTTGGAGTTGAGCCGCAAACATCGGCGCGGTGGAGGAGATCTGGGCATTTGCAGATGGAATGGTGGTATAAGATCAGTTCAACCACCTCACTTATTGTTGCCCATCACTGATTTCTAATCCAACGATGGTTCCTAATAGCCATGCACTCTTCAAAATTTCAGATCTCTGTTTATATCCAAATATAATTTTTCTTGTCGAATTTCGCTAGATTTGGGTTTACACATGCCGGATCGAAGAGTAGTGAAGCTAGCAACCGGAGTCGCGCTGAAGCACCTGAGATCGACGCGAAAGAGGGAGGAGATCAACTGTAACCTATATCTAATTATAATAAAGTCCTAATGCTCACTTTTAAAGATTCTTTGCATTCCGGGTAAAATGTGAGATTTTTCTAAACTCCTCAAAAACGAAGAAGTGTAAAAAATTTATTTATAAAAATATCATTGAAATAGATAAATTTAATATTTATACCAATTAAGGTATGTTTTAAAATTATAATATTTAGTAGATTAAAATAATAATAATTTAATTTTATAATATTATCAAATTACATTGATTTTTAAATTTTCAATCCAATTTTCTAAAACTAAAACAAAATAAAATCCAATCCAAAACATAACCAATGATTTCTCAAGTTCACTGACCCAAGTGAGGAGGCCCCACTTGCGCTTTCCATTTTGGACGCCTCTGGTTACTATTCTAATACTATTGAGGAGCCTGACACAGAAAAAACAAAATAAAAATAAATAAAAATAAAAATAAAAATAAAAATACTCCTCAATTAGAAATAGGGCCACAAATAAAAATTTCTTTCTTTCTCAGTCTCTCTATTAAATACCTCTCTTAGTCCTTTCTCACTTCACACTCTACCGCTCTAAACAAGTTACAGACAATCGTATCTTCAAATACGCTTATTTACTGCTCTCTCCTCCTCCTCCTTTCTGCTATGTCAACGAGACAGAAGCTCTGTTAAATCCTACAAATGCGGCTTGTTTGAGCAGTATACAGGTCTGTTTCTCTATCTTTACCTCTAATGTTCTTTCATTTTCTCTTCTTTTCTTTGCATTGTTTCTCTTAAACGAGTCAATTTGATTTCCATTTGTTTTGTTCAGAACTCAGACATGGTTTTTGGTTTTTGATTTTTGTTTACTAATCTTAATTTATTGTTATTGTTAAGATGAATAAAGTGATTAATGGTGTGGTGGTTCCCTTTTGACTGCGAATCCTTTAAAAGCTTTGATAATCATTACGGTTTAATCTTTACTCATAAAGTTGTTGTAAAATGCGTATTCTATTCCCAAATCCAAACTGCAGAGAGAAAGTTTTCTTTTTCTCCAATTTTTTATTTTTCATTCTTTTGCGACGTGGCAGTATTTGATTGGCTTCCTTGCTGCTGTGGATAGGTAGTTGTCCATGTTAATCGAATTATGAGTAGTTTCTTTCTGGCTTTCAAACTGCATTATCATTCATTTGGAGTCGTGCAAGGTTTCTATAGGCTTTGTACTACTATTGTTTCTTTAAAAAAAATAGTGCTATATGAAGTTGGTTGTGATGATAAGTAATACCCAATTTGCCCAACAATCTTAATTGTGATGTACTACCTGTTGCTGGTTCTTGTGAGGATTGAATTTCAAGTTTCTTAAAAAAATTATTAAATTTGTCTATATTATATTAAATTATTGAATAAATTAATTATGTTATTTTTAATTTAATATTAATTTTCTAAGAAAAACATAATAATTATCGGTGATATGCAAAGGGTAAACATGAAAAAAATAGATTTATTAGCCCTTGAAACTACAATGTGATAAGTATTTTGGAATAAAATATTTTTTTAAATATGACAAGTATTATGAAAGGGAGGTAGTATAATTTATTTAAAATTGAACTTTTAAATTGGTTAAAACAGAAATTTTCAATTGAAATATCAATGGCCAATTTTTTGATCGATTCTTTTTGAAATCGATCCAAAAACATGTACGAATTTAAGAGGTAAAATGAGCGTTTTATATTTTTAATAATCGAAATTATATTGCAATAATATATTGAGTATTGATTGATGCAGGGCCGTGGATTAACATTCTTATATTGTTTTTTGAGAACAAGAAAAGAAAGGTTATGTCAACAAAAATGATGACAATGAGAAGAAGGCTGGCTTGCTGCACCTGGGACAGAGAAATTAGCCTGGACTTCGATGAGCAAGAAAGTAAGAATTTCAATTTACAAGTACAATTATTTTTTTATTTTTTATATTTTGGTATATAATAGAATTTGAATACAAAGTGCCATGTAGATTATATTAGTATTATTAGTCAAAATTGATAATTTAATTCCAAAAAAAGTACAAAGAATAAGAGAAGCTGATGGGTTAAACTCAATTGATTATTATCTCTGCAATTAAAGGAAATTTGGATATTCTCATAGGCAATAATCAAGGCGTTATTATTGCTCTTAGTAATAAATTATATGATATATCATGTGATTGATGTAATTTTACCATTAATTAATTTTCTTTTTTCAGCCTAGTTACCCACCACATGGAGCCTAAAACCTTGTTTGTTTTAGAAATTTATACATGTTTTTCTTGATAAGATTTTCTAATGGAGGTGTTTGTTGTTTCTATTTGTTTAATCACACATTTAAAAGTTTAAATATTTACTATTAAGGTTATTTATTTGGAATAATTTACAAACATGGCAACTACTCCCTCCGTCCATTATTATTTCTCACATTTTATAGATATATTATTCAAAATTATCTGCCTTTGAAAAAATATAGTAGTATTGATCAATTACTTTCCAATATTACTCTTAAGTCTACTAAACAAAATTTAGTCCATTGTTTATAATTTTCTAAAATCCATCAGATCACTTCTCTCTTTCTCTCTTTTGAGTTCGTGTACGAGCCGTTAGTGTATGAAAACATTTTATAGGCCATTGAGTTTTAAATTATATTTATTTTAATTAAATATATAATAATAACTGCACTTATTATAGTACAAAAATTTTAATTCGATGGCTAAAGAAGTTTTTATATAAGAACATTCTTATAACAACATATCTCTAGTTTCAATGCCAATTTTTAATCAATTTTATTATAGTACTTCTTCCATTCTTAAATATTTGTCTGATTTTCACATTCCTTAAAAAACCCTATTCAATTTATTTAAATTATAATAAATTATTGAGTGAACTGATTATACTACTCTTAGTGTATCTAAATTATCGAAAAATTAGTAATTACTATTGATTATGTATAAAGGATAAAAAAGGAAAAAATAATTTATTATTTATGAAATCTATATACGTAACAATTATTTGGTAACGATCAAGAATAATTTAAGTAATTTAAGGGTATTTGTTTAATAATTTTAAATATATCTCCCATATATACTTGGAAATTTCAAAAGATAATTTATTTTATTTTGACGAGAGGTATTTCAAAAAAAGGTGGGATTCATATAATGGCAGACCATAAGAGTATATGGGTCCCACTTGCATCAGTTTCCCTTAGTGTGATAGGCATATGTGCCAATTGATTCTCTTGCCTCTTATTTATATTGGATCAGAACATTTATGGCGCGTAAGAAGGGGAGTAATGTCCGTCTGTCCCTTAAACTAGCAGACTCACAGCAAACTCTTTCAAAAATTGAATACTTCTGACCCATTTGTATATTTTTGTGGGGAGATGTGTTGTGTCCTGATCCATTGTGTATATTATTTGATAAAAATTGAATACCATTGACCACGTGTTCTTACATAGTGATATTTTATTTTTTTTCCTGAGTACTAGTTTTTTTTCCTGTGATTCTTGAATTACTAGTGTTTTTTTTCCTGTGATTCTTGCTAGCATAATAAACTAAGAAAAACCGTACAATAGCCTCATTTTTTAAATAAATCATCGCAAAATAATAATAATAATAATAAAATTTGAAAAAAGAAGCCATTTATCAAATCCATAATTCAAACCTAAGATTTGGATTTAATGTGTCTCATTTCAATACAGGAAAAAAGGACTTAAGCAGATAGGTAAGTTGTTCACCCTAACGAATTTCAATTGTATTGTTATCTATTTCCTATTTGTTTATTACAGTGCTTTAAGGTATGACGTTGAACCGGTCTATGGGCTAGTTATTAAGATTTTAGGCAGGTTGGTAGTTGGTAGGTTTGAAGTTTGAAAATGCATTTATATACACAGCCTTAGAATGTGCCTGCTGAATTTAGGCCTTTATGAGTGTGAAACTCACATGTGACCCACGTGACACTCACATGGAGGTCAATATCGATGAACAGTTCATAGCAAGTGAGGAAATGGGATAGATGACCCACTCATTTGGCAGGCGTATCCAATAAGTTGAACATGGGAAATTATTATGCATGAGTCTGCATTTTCAAAAACAATAGGTGATAGCGAGATATCCTTGTAATACAAATGACAATTTAGTAATAACAAGAGCCAAAAGGCAATCTATTCATACATTTTTTTTCTCATTAAATTACATTATACATATATGTTTTTTTTTTTTTTAAATTAGTTCTAATTGGGTGAGTAGCACTTTAGTAATTAGATTTTCAAAAAAAAAAAAAAAATAATAATAATATGAACAGTTTCATACGCACGCGAACGTGAGAAATTGGCGAATACGCATGACCCACTCATTTTGGCAGCGTACTTCCCAATAAGTTGAACATTGGGAATTATTCTACTGCATGAGTCTGCCCATTTTCACGCGCGAAAAACAATTTAGGTAGTTTCGTGTCAGAAAGAAAGTTATCCTTTGTATACAAATTGACAATTTTTTAGTAATTTAGCAAAGAGCCAAAAGGCAATCTATTCATACATTTTTTTCTCTTACTATTTAAAATTACATTTATAATATATAAATGATTTATATATTTTCTTTCAAATTAGTTCTTAAAATCTGTGTCCGTTTCGTGACCAGATAGGTTAGCACACTTTTCTAAGTAATTAGATATTTCAAAACTGAAAAAAAAAAATAATAAATACTTAATAACAATATCCGTCCGATCGCCCTTTTTGTTTGGTTGTTATTCTTTTTTGGTACTGCTGTCCAAATATAAAATATTTGTGCAAGCATATCTGTATTTTGAATATATATTTAAAATCAATTCTTTTTTTCTCATTCAATTAAATAACTTTTGATGATCATTCATTCATATGATAAAGACTTTAATTTTTTTATCTATTTCTTTTTCACCAAAATAAAATTAGGATAGATTTCCGATGTACAGATATAGGACAGGTAAAACATTATTTTGGTCCATAAAAAAAAAAAAAATAATAATAATAACAATACCTCCGACCCATTTTGTTTGGTTGTTATTCTTTTTTTGGATGTGCCAAAATATTTGCAAGATTTCTGAATTTATATATTTAAACAATTATTTTTATCATAATAACTTTTATGATCATTCATCAAATGAAAGACTTTTTTACTCATCTTTCACAAAATATAGGTCGTTTTCCGGTAATTATTTTGTCCAAAATATACGTTATTTTGAGTATTTTAAGGATTCATAAATGATGTTTTTTCATTATTACCCTTATTTACATTAGATACAATAAATATTTTCACGAGTAACTATTGATTTTGAGATAAATGATAATTTGATCAAATTATCTTTGGTTTTGTTATAATTTAGGAAAATTAATTGTTTCTTTAATTCTTGTGAAAAACTTTAAACAGCTTATATTTTGAGACAGATGGAGTAATATCTTAATAAGTTAAGGATAAAAAAGTGCGAAATAATTTTTATTGACTAAATTCTTAATATACGTGTGTTTTGTCAAACTATGCAAACAAAATGGGACGGAGGGAGTATGCATTAACTTCATACATTGAGGGTCCCGCACTTGGAAATTGTACTGTTAATTGGATTTTTTTATTTTTATAATATTTTAGTGTGTTGCAATAAATCAGAATCCTTGATTGGATTAAAGGCAATACAACCCATATGTTATATAAGAACCTCTCTATATAATACCAATCCTATCTGCCAGGCCACTATACGTGGTCTACAGACTACAGTATGACAGTTCATTATCAAGAGTTTGCCTTTTTCTTGTTGGTAAGGCAAAGTTGTAGATTTGGTGACCTATTGCAACTCATTCAATTGAGTTGCTATTAAATTTCCCTTTTCTGCTGTGGTCCATTAAATATGGTAAAATAAGAAGCTTCAGCTTTCTATCTTTATCGTTATTAGTAAAATTTGGAATAGCAATGAGATAAATGATTTTTAAAACTCTAATTAAAAAAAACTATATATACACACACACTAAGATAGTTTTCCATTTTTATATATATCATAATGTGAAAAGTGGCCGGAGCTGAAATCCTTGACTTAGTATAGAATATAAAAAAGAACAGGACAAGAAGTAACTTACAATAGTACTACTTGCATTTGCATGTGCTTACATCTAATTTGTCTACAATAAGGACAAGTTTTGACAGATAACTACGGACATCTACATGAGTGGATCTGTAATAGTTTAGTAGATCTGTAATAGTTTAGGGAGTTGGTAGGAGCGCACATTTGTTTCTACAACTTCTACTTGTCCGGTCAATCATGAGATTGATTTAATAATTAATAAGTAATCCCTTTGACTATAATAGGACAAAATGAAAATGTCTAATTTCATCATTTTCACGTGTCATTTCTCATTGGAGGGTTCTGTTGTTTATTAAAAATTATTGAGTTTTTTAAACAATTTTGCAATTGAAAATTTTCAGCAATTTAAAATTCAGTTCTTAAAATTTCAAGGCTTAATTATGAATTTGGGCATCATAGTGAAGCTCACATATCTGTATGTTGAAATTTACCAATGCGCCTAAAGGAAATTTTGCATTTTGTTATCCGTCGCTAGAGGAAGTCATGCACATATATTGCTTGAATCTCAATTGCTATAATCCATTTATTGTCTTGACCTTTGGTATATACCGTAATCATATGTTTCAGGAATAATGACATACAATGGCCTTGAAAATTGCATTTTAAACAATCAATCATATGAAAATGAAAGTGGGACAAGCCACGGAGATGGATGTATCAGTGACTCCTTGGATGATGATGACTTGAGCTGTTCTTCTAGCAAAGATGGTTTTGGATCATTTTCTTCTAAATGGTTGACAAGTAAGAGGGATGAACAGAGTTCTGATGATTGGGAACTCTCGGAAAGCCCCCAACATTTTTATGTCAAAGCAAAACCAGCATACACTATTCAATTTTCTGATGTAGAGATGATGAAGGAAAAATTTGCAAAGCTATTACTGGGAGAAGATATAACAGGGGGCCGTAAAGGCCTCACTACTGCATTAGCGTTGTCCAACGCTATATCAAATCTTGCAGGTATGGTCTACCGATACTTCAAAATTTTTATATGTTTGTATTTTTTCATTATGATTTTCTGCAAAACCTTTACTTATTTATAGTTAGTAGTTCAATGAATTGAACTTCAGCCTGTTTGGTATAGATAAATTCCTCAAAAGCTTTACTTATTCTTTTAGAATTTCATATTTTCATGTTTAGGATGGATTAAAATGTTTGTTTCACTCCTAATCTCCTAATAGGCACTCAAATTTATGGATTCAATTTAACTAAACTGAATTCTGTATTTTGAATCCATAAATACAAGACAATAGGTGAAAGTTGATTCAATATTTAAGCATGCCATTTAGTTTTGTCCGGGCTGTATGACTACATGCAAATGGGAGATTGTCAGGTAAAATTGCTACAGAAAAAATGTGTAAAACTGAATTCTCTGTCAGCAAGTAGCTAAATTCGCATGAGCAAATTTAAATTTATAGGAGTTTGAGCCTACTCCAAGTTTTGTTTGCTTTGATATAATTGCAAGTTCAATCTCTTTTATCCATCAATTCTTAAGAAGCTTGAAAATGGTATATTGTAGCTTCGGTTTTTGGGGAACTGTGGAAATTAGAGCCATTGCCTGAAGAAAACAAGAACAAATGGCAAAGAGAAATGGATTGGTTGCTGTCTCCTACAAACTATATGGTTGAGTTAGTTCCTGCAAAGCAAAATGGTGCCAATGGGCGAAGCTTGGAGGTATTCTTTGTTTTATTGGACTGAAAGTGAAAACAATTTGTAATTTTAAATTTTGTGAGATTCAGAGTTAATATTGGTATTGAAGCAGATAATGACTCCAAAAGCGCGTGCAGACATCCACGTCAATCTTCCAGCACTCCAGAAGTTAGACTCTATGCTTATTGTAGGTGATCTTCATTCCTACATTTCAAATTTCTACATTTTTGCCTTGTTCATATTCACTGCATCACATTTCTAAACTATGTACAGGAGACACTAGATTCAATGGTGAATACCGAATTTTGGTACACAGAAGTAGGCAGCCGGGCAGAAGGAAGGGCTAAAAGTGCAAAGCAAAGTAAGAGATGGTGGCTCCCATTGCCACAAGTACCCACAACTGGTCTTTCTGACTCGGAAAGAAAGAAATTGCTTTATAAGAGTAAAGTGGTCTATCAAATCTTCAAGGCTGCGAAATCTATCAATGAAAATGTATTGCTTGAAATGCCCGTGCCAACTATTATCAGGGATGCGCTACCCAAAGTAAGCACGTTTTCACTGTTCTATGAGACTAACATGTTTAATTAGCTAGCTTCCTTTAGAAGTGAGCTCCAACCATTGATTTACTGGAGTATGAATGCTAAAATTGAAACAATTCTAAAAGTTTATATGCTTTATTCATAAAAAAATTGTCTAAAATGTAAATAGAAGCACTAAAAATTTAAAATTGGCCATATTTTCCCATTTTCAGTCTGGAAAGGTGAACCTTGGCGAGGAACTTTGTAAGATCTTGATGGCAGACTCAAAAACAGCTGAGGAGATGCTCAATGCTCTAAATTTAAAATCTGAAAACAGTGCAGTTGAGGTCATTAACAAGCTGGAAGCTGCCATATTTGCATGGAAAGAGAAGATTACAGCACAAGTTACTGGTAAATCCCCTGTTCGAACATCTTGGTCCTTCGTTAAGGACCCAATGTCAGAGTTTGACAAGACAGAGTCACTATTAGATAGAGCTGAAGCCCTTCTACAGCAAGTCAAGGCTAGATGTCCTAACCTACCTCAATCATTTCTTGAAGCCACAAAAATCCAATATGGCAAGGTAAGTTTGATAATTTGCATTTAACCATAAGCTTTAATTTTTGATATTATTGTTTTTATTGGTTTTATATATAACAAATAGTATGTAAGCATATAAAAATGATAAGCAAGACAGGCATGCACATCATACTAAAATCTTAATTCATATAAACTTGCCTTTAGTTCTCATACCACTGTCAGACATCAAGAACAACAATACTGATACAAAAACAATTAACAATTAGGTCATTGTTTGCAAGTAGGATTTGTGCATGAAAGCTAACAACCCGACCTACTTGAACCAAAGGGAAAAAAAAAGTTGAACTGGATTTTGTTGGTTGTTTAGTATTCAATTTTGGTTTGAGTTGAGAAAATTGGTTTGGATTTTGGTTCAACCATTGAAAATTTGAACCAACTGGAATATATATATATATAGTGTGCACTTTGGTCAAATGTTGGAATAATCCTGGTTTACTAATTTGCTTCTTAGGATGTTGGGCATGCAATTCTGGAAGCATATTCCAGGGTTCTTGGAAATTTGGCTTTCAGAATATTGTGTAGGATAAGTGACATTTTGCAGGAAGATGGTTGTTGCAATCCTAATTCTCCCGAAGCAAATTGTTGCTTCCTTGGAATAAATGCATCAGGAATTCTGGAAACTCCACTTCACAAGGCGGATGGAAAGTACCGGGAATCTGATGCTAGTTATAATTCTGATATGGGATTCTCTTATAGCGAAGCTAAATCAAGCTCAGTAAATGCAACACCAAGTAGAAGCAGAGTTTGGTGCATTGGTAGAGAAGCTTGTATAGGCGTGTCTCCAAATAATTCACCATGACTGAGATCTAAGAAAAAAAAATATATTGAAGTTGATACTTATCAATTCACCATATGCTTAATAAGATATGAATAGATTAAGTTTTGGTTGCCTTTTTGAATAGTTCTGGTCATAGCAGTTGCTGATGAATGTATATTTCTTGCCAAAACTATGACAGCCACTGTTTCCTATGTATATGATTATAACAGCAATTAAGATTAGTTTAATTAATAAGTTTATTTCTCCTTTTCAGATATGGATTAAATTGTCTTTTTGTCTTTGCTTCCATTAACAAAATAATCTTTCCATTCACAATAACAATAACAAAAAATAAAAAATCCTTTGGTGGATAATAGATCAAATTTTTATGTTATGATTAACAAAATTTTTTTTCTTCCTACTAAAGAATGTTGGGCAAGTGAAAAATCAATGTGGGATGACATGACTTTATTGACTTTTTTTCAAGTAGCTGTTGAGTTTGTAAACTTTAAATATCAGTGAGGATTTAACTATGAATAGAACATAATGAAAATGAAAAGATTCATATAGCAAACACTACTTAGTTGGTGTTGCATATCTTATAATTTCTCCTATTTATTAGTACTAGTATTAGAACCCGCACTACGTACAGAACAATATTAAAAGATAAAATAATTTTTTATAACATTATTTAAAAATAGTAAAATTATATAACAAAATGATAAATTATATCTCATTATTTAAGATATGTCATTTTAAATATCCTGCGAAACCTTTCAGAAGGTATGCAATAGTAAAAATTATACATGGTATACTGTATGTAAAAAAATACATACACACTATTAATACATTTTTAATAGTAATAATAATTTTAAAAATTTAACTAATTATATTGAAATAAGAAATTAAGTAAATTTTTATATTTTATGTTTATGATTTATTATAAACGGAGGATGTTGAATCGCAGAATATTTTTTCTTTTTTCGTTTTTCTTCTCTTAACCAATATAAACTGGAGTTTTTCCCTTTTAATTAGGTCAATAACATACGTTTGATAGATACTGTAAATTTGAATTCCAGATCGCAGAACATGTGAGGATTTTTTAGAGGGATTTTGGGCGTGGTGATCGGTACGGTTGTAGATATGGGAAGTTTACAGTGTGGTCAGATCCTTTTGGGTTGAAGCGTGTTGTTTTGTTTTTAGGTTTAACGTCGCCGCCGTTAGTTAGCGGGTTTCCTTTTATATTTTGGGAGGTTAGTTTGAAAATTGACCGAAATTATTAATTTGTTAATAAATATTAATTTCTAACCATTTACACATTTGTTAAAATGCCACTTATTATAATTCATAGTTTTTAAAAACAGAAGTTCTAATTTATCATTTTACTAATTAATTTAATAAATTTACATATTTCCTTTAAATTAACCAAAAAAAAAAAAAAAAAAAAAATTTTAATCTGAGTACTCGTAATCTATTTTTACAAAATTTAAGTTCTAACCCTCTATATTGAAATAAGAAATTAAGTAAATTTATATATACTTTTTTCCATGTTTTTTGATTTATTATTTTAACCGGAGGAGGTTTGAATCGCAGAATATTTTTTCTTTATTTTCGTTCTTTCTTCCTTCTCTTCAACGCCCAATTATAAACTGGCCAGTTTTTTTCACCTTTTCAATTAGGGTCCCAATAACATACTGCTTCTGATAGTAACTCGACTCCTGTTAAATTTGACATTTCCACGAATGCTAGCAATCCATGTGCAGGGATGTTTTTCAGCTAGAGGATTTTTGGGCGATTCACGACGTGGTAGATCGGTACTAGGATTGATAAGATTATTGTGGGAATTATAACGCAGTGTGTCTCAAGATCCTTTTGGATGATCTGAATGTTGGTTGTTTTGTTTTTATGGCATTTAAACGTCGCCGCCTCGTTAGGGGTTAAGCGGTTTCCTTTTAATAATTTTGGGAGGTTAGATTTGATATATAGGAACCGAAATTATTTACATTTGTTAATAAATTATTATAATATTCTAACCATCTACACATTTTGTTAAAATGGCCACTTTATAATTCATCAGGTTTTTAAAAACAGAACGTTTATCTAATTTTATCATTTTTACTAATATATAACCACCATTTTAATAAATTTTACAATAATTTCCTTTAAGATTAACACCAAAAAAAAAAAAAAAAAAAAAAAAAAAAAAAAAGTCCAAACGACCCAGTTAAAAATTATTTCTGTCGTCGTAGTCTTATGGCTAAATCCTAAACTGTCCCTGTCCTCAGTTCAATTCATCCGAAGAACTTCAAGTAAGAATCTTTTATGATTTCTTTTTTCTGTTTTCACTTTATATAGAACGTGAATTGAATAATCCAAATTCTTTAAATTACAGTACAACATACAAATTTAGATTTGGGTTTTCCTGTTTGCATGTGAATACTATATATATATATATATATATAGAGAGAGAGAGAGAGAGAGGGAGACGAATATTAGCTTTAGTTTCGAATTGTTTCTTTGCAGATTTGGCATAAACAAATGGGTCTGCCCAGGTTTACAAGGCCTAAGGGAGAAGATGGGCAGTTGAGCACTAACCTTTATGTAGCAAATTGTGGACCATCAGTTGGAATTTCATATGAAATGATAGAATCGGTTTTTAGTAGGTTTGGACAAGTGAAAGGTGTGTATGCAGCTGATGAGAGTGGTGCCCGAGTTATTGTTTCTTATTTTGAGGTGGATTCTGCTCAAGCTGCCTTCAAAGCTTTAAATGGAAATTTTTGCTCTGATCTTGGAGGACGTCATTTGCATATCCGTTTTTCGGTTCTTCAACCAACTTGTGAGGTATTTTCTGCATAATTGCTTCGTCTTCTTTCTTTTTAGCTTAGGGTTCGTTTTGGTATGGTCATTTGTCTTTGTGTTTGTTCTCCAAGCGTAAAAGAATACTTTTAGTGTAGAAAAAGAGGAATAAAAAATTAGAAACCAAAATGATACCAAACAGCCCCTTACCTATCTTGGGTTTCCACTCTCTCTGTCATTGCAAATCATTTTATTGTAATTTCATAGTAATGAGAGCGGTTATAGACTTATAGTTCCTAGCTAACACATTTTTATTTCCATTTTGCGTTGCTTGTTGTTTGATTATTCTCTTGATAGCATAAAACATTTTTTTATTAGTCAAATAATGTTCGGAACCCATTTTTTCTGTCTGAATTTGTTCCTAAAATTTCACCTTTCTTTTTGGTTGTTTTCAGTTTGATCTTTGTCATGCTAATTTATTAATTGGATCCTTTGAAGAGTTACTATGAGAAGGATGAGCTGTGGAATCTTTGAGGAGAAATCTTCCTCCTTGTGTTCTCTTTTTGTGTTTCACATATGTTTGATGTGTAGCATGCATTTGATTTTTGCAATTATTTTCTATTGTTAATGCTGGAAAAATGTCCTCAAGTAAATGTGTAGAAGCATTTGTGGTTGAAAATATTTTAATAATTCCACAAGCAGAGAAAATCTCACTTTTTTGCTTCTGACCCTTCATTTTTTTTAAAATGCCCCACCAGTAAAATATGAGCAATAAGTATTCTGATACATGCATTTTATTCTCTGGACAATGTATTTGGTTGTTGCCTTCTAAAAGTATTTGGATTTTGTTTAGAGACGGGCGAATGATTACATCCCAGTGTCTCTGGAAGCTTCAGAATTAAACATCCCGGGCCTTTACTTGTTGCATGACTTTGTTAATGTGAAAGAAGAACAGGTTAGGTCTCCCTGATACATAGGTATATCTTTCAATTTTCCAAGTTATAAACTAGTTTCTTTGCTTCTTTTGTTATATTCAGCTTCTCATAGGAAGTTTTTTTTCCCTTTCTTCCTTCAGGAATTGCTTGCAGCTGTTGATGGTCGACCTTGGAATAATCTCTCTAAAAGAAGGGTGCAGCATTACGGATATGAATTTTGTTACGACGTAATTATACTGCAGAAGTAGCTCTTATCACTCTTTTAGATAAGTTTGGGGTGAATCTACCACCTATTTTACTTCAATATTTCGGTGGATGAACACAATACATGTGCATATTTCATAACTTGAATATAAAATTTTGGCAATATTTCATAACTTTAAAATTTTGAAAGGTGTAAGGAGAAGTAAATTTTATTGATGCTGGAATGTCTTGTTAGTAGTAAATATTATAAGAAGATACTCTTGCACCCAAAGAGCTGTTTTTATTTGGCATATCTAGACTTGGAGCTCCCAATAGTCAGACCTTTTGTTTTCTGAAATTTTATTATTGATGAAACTTTATAGTGTTGCTTGAAATCTATTTCTCATTTCTCTTATAGTTTCTGAGATTGTGCCAATATTTTGGGCTTAGTTTTGCATTCTGGCTAACTGCAATACTTTGGAGCTTTTAAAGATTTAAGAAATATGACATGTAGGCAATTGGGCTTCTACTTTTTGTCTCAATATGGGACATTATGTTTTCTTCAAATTTTTAAATAACAATGAAAAGGAAACATAGAATGATAAGATTTGATACTTCTTAGCTGTTTTTCATGATTGCTAAAGCTTCCTGTTCATTCTTTTTTCATTTTGTATTTGTCATGTTAGTAACAGGTATGTGTTATATATGAAACTCAAGGACCTTTAGACTTTATATGGTTGTGGAAAGCATAGTTAAGTAAGCAGTTGTGCTTTACAATCTTGCCAACAAATAGAATATTGTTTCGCCTTAAATTGTACTATTTGGATCTGAATATGTTTTTACTTGGTCTTAACATATTGTCTGTCTCATTTGAACTTTGATTATCACTGATGAAGAATTTGACCTCATTCTTTTATATGCTATTATTGATAATATATAGTGTTATGGCTTTTTGTGCTCTGATTATGCACATATAGTATTTAATGGTAACTTTATAACATCTCCTGGGAATAATTTATTCTCTATTCTTTAGTAAGCAGAGAAAACTGATGATGCCTAGCTATTAGATATTTTTGGTTATTGTAAAAATCTTCAAAACTTATTAATTTTCTTCATTTATGGTACAGATAAGGAATGTCAATACAAAACAGCAGTTGGGTGAACTTCCATCATTTGTTTCTCCTATACTCGAAAGGATTTCATTGTTTCCAGACCTTGTGAATTCTGCAAGTTTAATCTTGGACCAACTTACTGTATGTAATAATCTCCTCTTGCAGTAGTGTTTCTCTGTGCTACTTCTCTTCTGTCATAAAATACAGAAGGCTATGTTTAGAACTAAGTTTTGTATGCATCTTTCCATATTACCAAAAAAGCAAACTCTAATAATTTTTTTGCTGCAAAAATGATGGGTGCTTCTGTTTTACAGTTAGGCTGAAAATTGGTGATTATGTTACAGGTTAACGAGTACCCGCGTGGGGTGGGCTTGTCCCCACACATTGACACCCATTCAGCATTTGCAGGATTAATTTTTAGCCTTTCATTAGCAGGGCCTTGCATAATGGAGTTCCGGAGATACTTAGATGGTTCATGGGTTCCTAAAGCTGCATCAAGTAATGATGTGAAAGTTGAAAATTTTGATGATGGCTCAAATCTAATAAGGAGGGCTATCTATCTTCCTCCTCGTTCTATGCTCCTATTGTCTAGGGAAGCCCGTTATGCTTGGCATCATTACATCCCACATCATAAGGTATATCAGGTTAACCAAAGATTTTCCCTTTCATGCTATTTTCTCTTATGGGTTCAAGCCTTCCATATATAGTCAGGTCGGTATTGGTCAACTCGTTATATGCAAATGATAAGGAGCTGTTAAAGATAAATATTATGTTCACATGATGAGAAAAATATGGTTTAATGTTTAACATGTTGAGGGAAAATCTTTTAATAGGATTTGCTAAAAATCAGAAAATGAGAGTAGAACTTGTTTTGGGAATTTGCAAAGTGGTTAGATGGAACTATAACCTCATATTATGACCAACTCTATGAAGGAAGCCTTTAAATGTCTAGGGTCAAAATTGCATCATGCTACTCCATTCTAGGGCCACTAACTTCTTTTTTTCTTTTTACTCTCACCTCTGTGGGAGGAAGGGTTTAAGGCACGAATCTACAAACTCCACCCACAATCACTTGTAGGTACACCAATAGAGTTTATATCAATTGGTAGTCTCAAAGGAAGCTGTCTCAAAGTAAGCTTACACAAATAGGTAATTTACTCCTATTCCTTGTGAGACTTGGAGTCCTAAATTAGAACAAGAGACATCTTGTGGCCCTTAAATTTTGTGTTTTTTCAATATGGTTATTAAAATTCAATTTATTCAGTCAACTTCTCCGACTTTTGATTCTGTTCAAATTCTTCCCCAAAAAAATTAGCTTGTGGCCTAACTTTGTGGTTCAATGTTGATCAAATGATGGGGCTGAATATATTATGGACCTATTGCACCAGTTAACATTTCTAGGTGGCATGCTTCAAGTTTGAGGACCAATGGCAGACAAGGAAATCAAGAAAATTCAAATTCAAAAACAGAATTTTAGAATTATGGTCCTTATTTTATCTAGGATTTATTTCAAATTTATTTTATATTTCTTTTAAATTTTTATTCAAGTCTATTTAAATAAATTAAAAGGGCAATTTTGTATATTCTAGCTTCTTGCTGGGAAATCTCTTCACATCTCTTTGGAGTCCATTTTTATTTTAAAATCTTAGCTCGAGTCCTTATTGCCTTGGATAACATCATTCCTGTTAGTTTTCTTTGGATACTCCTTTAGGACTACTTTCAAAATTCTATTTAGTTTTAGGATATGCTTGGTTCTATAAAGAACCATGATTGTAATGCATTATAATCCAGTTTTCAGTGAATAAAACTCCAGCAGATTTTGCTCTATTTCTCAAGTTGCTTGATGCAATTCTAACACTACAAGTTGTGATGCTTTCTTGGCTTGAGTCCCAAGTCCTATTAATGTGATGGTAGTAGTTTATTTTCATTTGTGTAATTTTCCTTTATTATTCTAAAGAAATTCATATCTGCCATCTTACTTTTCAACCTCTAATTTTTTATTTCTTCAAACCCTGGCTCTAATCTCCTAAAAGTTCAAGTTTTCCCAAACTACCTTGTGCCAACTAAATTTGGGTAGATTCCTTTATTTAAAAAAAAAAAAAAAAAGAACTGCGGTAACTGGACTGAATAGGGACTAGTGACCCAAAAACATTATAATCATGCACACCATTGCAAAATGAGAACTTACTGATGCCTATAGGTCTTATTCATAGAGTAAATGAAATATAAGATGTTCTTTAACTACTCACACCATTAAATTAGTGGTTGACTGATAACTTGTGAAACCATGTCAAACTATGAACTATAAACAATTTTCACAGAATTTCCAAATCAAGTGTTATCATACTTGTCCTTAAATTAACAACTTTAAAACTTGCCAAAATTTGAAGAGAAGTCATTGGAGGGATTCAAATTTATTTTGATCTGTCTGGATGTCTAAGTAGATGACATTAACAATTGAAGTGATCCAGATATACCATTTATCCTCAATGAAAGAAAACCTAAGAGTTGTTGATAGGGAATTTGATCAAATTTATGAAATGCTAAACCATGAAACTTTGTCTATCAAGTGGATCTTCTTTAGCAACTTGCAATAAGCAAAAAAAAGTGTGTGTATATAAGTGCACTTACATCAGAGATGAAATTTTTTTCTTTCTTCTCCAATTATGGGCTATTGTTACGCCCCGCACATCAGGCAGGCAGAAATGCAAGGCAGCCTCCAGAATTTATAGAAGACATAGAAGGCTGGAAATTGGCTGCCATAATGAGCCAGGACTTGGGAAGCCTCTAGCCCAAAGTTGGAGGTTCCAAGCCCAAATTCTAGAATATTTCCACCCAAGATATTTTTATGAAATGTCTACCTAACTCTAGAATTTTCTTTGTAATCTAGACCGTCCATTTTTGTAGGCAAATCTTAGCTGTACATTGAGGAGGTGACAATGGCTATAAATACCACCCCTCACCTCATTTGTAAGAACCAAGCAATTAAGCAATATCAAGAGCAATATAAAGCTCTTCTAAAGTTCTCTTGTGCTCTCTTCCTATTTAGCTTCTATTTTCGCTCCAATAGTCTTCTAGGCTTACTTAGCTCATCCTAAACACCCAAGGGTGACTAAGTGCCGCGTGGATAGGCATAGCTAAAACCTATCTCCGTGACAGGATAGACTTGAACTTCTCTCGCTAGAACTTGCCAGTAAAGCGAGGGTCTCGATCGCTCACGATATTCTGTGGAAGTCCCCATAACTTCACTACGTTCTTGAAGAATAGCGGGCTGCTTCATGAACCTTACAGTTCGCAGAGACTGGGATAAAGGTAGCATACTTGCTAAATCTGTCAACAACGACCATTATGCTCCCATATCCTTCAGACTTTGGTAGTGCAACGATGAAGTCCATCGATACACTTTCCCAAGGACGCTCCGCAACGGGAAGAGGTTCGAGTAATCCCGCGGGAGCTTGTTGTTCAACCTTGTCTTGTTGGCAGATAAGACAAGTCTTGACATATGTCTCCACATCATCCTGCATTCTTGGCCAGTAATAGTGAGCTTTTACTAAGGCCAAAGTTTTCTACTTTGCTTAAGCCCCGTGTAAATTGCATTGCAGAGATCGTAGATGGTGATTTCTCTATGCACTTCAATGGGACAATGCACGACTTCTCTCCTTCAAGTATAATTAGGGAACTTGTGTAAGGGAAAAGGAGTGCGCATACCTTGCGGAAGAATGTTAGTCCCAATACTATGTCAAAATATGATGGTGAAGTCTAGCTTACCGCACCATGAGCCAATTTTAACAGGTACAGCCTTTGCAAATCCGGCAATTGGCTTCACTTTGGAATTTACAGTCTTGATTGTGCCACTTACAGCCTTTGGCAAATCGGCAAATTGGCTTCCACTTTGGAATTTTTACAGTCTTGATTGTGCCATCTGTTCACTTTGGAATTTACAGTCTTGATTGTGCCACTGCCTCCAATGATATCCAGGCCTAGTCGCTTGGCCTCCTCGATATCAATAAAGTTGTGTGTAGCACCTGTCTCTAGCATGACGCTAGCCGATTTTTCATTAACGGCTACATCGGCATATAGTAGTCCCTTCATCTTGGGGATGCTAGGAGGAAGGGTTCTTATTATGAACCTTAAGTATTGCAAGAATCCCAAGTTGGCTAGGGTTTCTTCTGCCTCTTGCTTTTTATACTCGGCACGCATCGCATTTATTGCCTTTTTATTGGGGCAATCTTTTGTCCAATGCGGGCCTTCGCAGATGAAGCAAGGTTTCGGAGGTTTGGAATCATACCTCTTGGACGACTTGTCATATTTTCCACCGGAAGATTTGGATGAACCGCCCTCCTTGTGACTTTCATCCTTTTTCTGATTATGTTTCTCTCCCCCACTCTTACTAAGATTGGGCTTTTTATTCTTGATTTGGGTGGAGTAGTTGGTTAGAGTTTCAGCTATGGTAATGGCATCGTCAAGTGTTTGCACATCACGCCGCTCTAACTCTACCTTTGCCCAATCTCTATGCCCATCCTTAAAGTAGAAGAGAGCGTCTTTGTCGGATAGATCGTCGATCTCCAACATAAGGGTAGTGAATTCCTTGATGTAGTCAAGGATGCTACCGCTTTGTCGTAGACGACGTAGCCTTCCCCTTGCTTCATTTTCGGCATTGTGGGGTACAAAATGCTTTCGCAACTCTGCCTTAAATTGTTCCCACGTATGGATAGTGCATGTGCCTTTCTCACATTCTGCATGTTTCCTTTGCCACTAGAGTTGAGCAGCTTCCCGGAGGAATGTAGGGGCATTGACAATCTTGGCAGCATCATCTAATACCCCTATGGCCTCGAAGTATTGATCAAGACCGAAGAGAAAGTTCTCTACCATCGAAGCATTACGTGTGCCGTTGTACATCGCAGGCTTGGGTACCTTCAAACCATGTACCACAGGATCGGTGGTAGCGCTAGTTGAGGCGGGACTACTTATACGATGGTGCATTCGACATTCAGAACGGACAACATCTACTTCCTTACGAAGAGAACTAACTTCACATTGGGCAATTTCACGTACCTCATTCACCTCGTTGGCAAGGGCTCGAAGCGCCTCTCGAAGGGCTCTACCAAGCTCAGTGATCATGTCCTTGGCAGCCCTGGTGATCTCTTCGTTCTCCTGAACAACATTATCAAGTTGCTCAGAGAGTTCACCCACAAAGGCCTTTTGAGTGGACAATGATCGCTCAAGAGCTCTAACTCTTCGCTCCAAAGGATCGGTGGGAGACTCACCTACCTTGGACTTCCCTCGTTTAGGCTGAGTACGTGATGGCTCACGGCCTCGGGTAGCCTCAGCATGCTTAGGTTGTTGTTCCTCAGCAACAACCACGTTAGCTTCCTTGTTCACCATAGATCAAGATGAAAGCCTTCGTACCTAGGATGGAACCATTGCTCTGATACCACCTGTCACGGAGATAGGTTTTAGCTATGCCTATCCGTGCTGCACTTAGTCACCCTTGGGTGTTTAGGATGAGCTAAGTAAGCCTAGAAGACTATTGGAGCGAGAATAGAAGCTAAATAGGAAGAGTGTACAAGAGAACTTTAGAAGAGCTTTGTATTGCTCTTGATATTGCTTAATTGCTCGGTGCTTACAAATGAGGTGAGGGGTGGTATTTATAGCCATTGTGAGGGGTGGTATTTATAAGCCTTTCCTCCACCTCCTATGTGCGGCTAAGATTTTGCCTACAAAAAATGGAAAAAATGGACGGTCTAGATTACAAGGAAAATTCTAGAGTTAGGTAGACATTTCATAAAAATATCTTGGGTGGAAGTATTCTAGAATTTGGGCTTGGATCCTCCAACTTTGGGCTAGAGGCTTCCCAAGTCTTGGCTCATTATGGCAGCCCAATTTCCAGCCTTCTATGCCTTTTATAAATTCTGGAGGCTGCCTTGCATTTTTGCCCGCCTGATGTGCGGGGCGTAACACCCTCCCGCACTCAAGCTCGCGACGCCCTCGTTGCGCCATGAACCTCGTATTCTTTTATCTTATCCTCGATAATGGCAGAGTTGCGATTATCAGCTTGAGTACAAGCCAGGGAAGGCCGACTTTGTTGCTGATGCGCTGAGTCGCAAGGCAGAGCTGGCCACCATCAGTGCTAGCACCCCACGAAGCAACCTACTGGATCGCATCCGAGAAGGGATGCAACACGACATTTTTGCTGGAAACTTGCTCAAACTCGCAAAAGAGGGCAAGACACGAAGATTTTGGGAGCAAGATGGAGTACTTTATACTCATGGCAACCGAGTCTTCATGCCAAAATGGGGAAATCTTCGCGAAGAAATCCTCAAGGAGTCCCACGACTCAAAATGGGCTGGACATCCTGGTGAAACTCGTACAATGGCCTTAGTAAGAGCTCACTATTACTAGCCAAGAATGCAGGATGATGTGGAGACGTATGTCAAGACTTGTCTTATCTGCCAACAATACAAGGTTGAACAACAAGCTCCCGCGGGGTTACTCGAACCTCTTCCCGTTGCGGAGCGTCCTTGGGAAAGTGTATTAATGGACTTCATCGTTGCACTACCAAAGTCTGAAGGATATGGGAGCATAATGGTCGTTGTTGACAGATTTAGCAAGTATGCTACTTTTATCCCAGTCTCTGCGGACTGTAAGGTTGATGAAGCAGCCCGTCTATTCTTCAAGAATGTGGTGAAGTTATGGGGACTTCCACTGAATATCGTGAGCGATCGAGACCCTCGCTTTACTGGCAAGTTCTGGCGAGAGTTGTTCAAGCTGATGGGGACAGACTTGAACTTCTCTACTAGCTTTCATCCCCAAAGTGATGGGCAAAACGAGCGTATCAATGCACTGCTCGAGTTATATCTCCGACATTATGTCAGTGCTCATCAACGAGATTGGGCCAAGTTACTTGACATTGCCCAATTCTCATATAACCTCCAAAGGAGCGAGTCCACGGGCAAAAGTCCCTCCAAAGGAGCGAGTCCATCGGGCAAAAGTCCCTTTGAAATTTCATGGGATAACAGCCTCAAGACTCCCAATGCGATTGCAGCTTCATATGCTGGGGGACCCGCAGCCCACAAAATCCCCAAGGGAAATGGCACGAAGAAGCTGACGAGACCCGTGGCTAAAGGAGCGAGTCCACGGGCAAAAGTCCCTTTGAAATTATCATGGGATAACAGCTCATGACTCCCAATGCGATTGCAGCTTCATATGCTGGGGTGAACCCCGCAGCCCACAAATTCCCAAGGGAATGGCACGAAGAAGCTGACGAGACCCGTGCTTGTCTCGATAAAGCTGCTCGGCGAATGAAGAAATGGGCCGACACCAAGAGGCGACCTAAGGAGTACGCTGAGGGAGATAAGGTACTCGTCAAACTCCTCCCTAACCAATTTAAATCACTACGAAAGGTGTATAAAGGGTTGGTGAGGAAGTATGAAGGACCATTTTCCATCATCAAGCGAGTGGGAAAAGCTGCCTATCAAGTCGAACTGCCTCCAAAGCTTAAGATTCATAATGTCTTCCATGTTAGCATGTTAAAACCATACCATGCTGATGAAGAGGACCCAAGCAGGAATACATCCACACGAGCCCCAACGGCTGTTGTCACTGAATTTGACAGAGAGGTTGACAACATTCTCGACTCACGAGTAGTACGGAGACGTGGAGTTCCAAACTACCGGGAGTACTTGATTAAGTGGAGGAACCTGCCTTAGTCTGAAGCTAGCTAGGAGCGTGAAGGCACTCTTTGGCAGTTCGAGGATAAGATAAAAGAATACAAGGTTCATGGCGCGACGAGGGCGTTGCGAGCTTGAGTGGGGGAGGGTGTTACGCCCCGCACATCAGGCAGGCAGAAATGCAAGGCAGCTTCCTGAATTTATAGAAGGCATAGAAGGCTGGAAATTGGGCTGCCATAATGAGCCAGGACTTGGGAAGCCTCTAGCCCAAAGTTGGAGGATCTAAGCCCAAATTTTAGAATACTTCCACCCAAGAAATTTTTATGAAATGTTTACCTAACTCTAGAATTTTCTTTGTAATCTAGACCGTCTATTTTTGTAGGCAAATCTTAGCCGTACATTGAGGATATGGAAATGGCTATAAATACCACCCCTCACCTCATTTGTAAGCACCATGCAATTAAGCAATATCAAGAGCAATACAAAGCTCTTCTAAAGTTCTCTTGTGCTCTCTTCCTATTTAGCTTCTATTTTCGCTCCAATAGTCTTCTAGGCTTACTTAGCTCATCCTAAACACCCAAGGGTGACTAAGTGCTGCGCGGATAGGCATAGCTAAAACCTATCTCCGTGACACTATGCTATTAATAAGTTGGGAAATTAGTTATGTCCTGAAAGAGCCACTGGACTGGTTGGTGCTCTTTCATACAAATCAAAATACCCAAAAAATTATTTTGCATGTTTGGCTAGTCCATGAGCTGCTAAATTGGCCTCATGAGATACAGAAAGAAACAAACAGGATCTGGGTTGTGATACTATCTCCCTCACGTCTTCAATCACCACAATAAAATGGGAGGAATTTGTTTTCTTCATTTTAAGCAGTTTTTATATATTTTCCCAACTGTTTGGTCATGTTTTGGTTAGCATATTGCATGTCAAGTGGCTTCTGCCTCCTCCATCCCTCTATATGCATGTCCTATGTATATGCATGTTTACACTTTAGCATTTATTTTTCTCATACTCGTGTATGAAGGTGTATTCATGCTTCTTTACAGATTGACTTGGTAAATGACAATGTGGTCAATAGGGGCTCAAGAAGAGTATCTTTTACATTTCGAAAGGTGTGTTAACTAAGTTCCTGTTTTTATTTTATTTTATTTTAAATTTTTTCATCTTGACTTCCTTGAGTTTTAGGAGATGAGTTTGTGGGTATTTTTCTTTGGACACACAAAACAGTGATAGCATCACAAAATGACATGTGAAACACCAAAATAGGAATAATTGAATAGGGAACTAATAATTGCATTGGCATGGATGGTATAGTTCTAGGCTAACATCCTAGAACAAGTTATCTATGAAGTTAATAAGTAATAAATATTCATGTCTACCTGATTCTAAACGACTTGGATAGATTTTCTGGACCTTAAAACATTTCTCCAATGTCTCTATTGTTAATCTTCTTAAGGGATTGTCTAGAGAATAATTTTTCAGTTTTCTAGTATTGAACCTACAAGAATTCCAATTGCCCTTTTCAATAAGTTTTCACGTGTTTTTAAAAAGTAATGGATTGTAAAAAATTAAATAAAACAAATTGGGGCATTTGGCACTGTTTCTATATTTTGTAAGTTATTATATGAATGTAATGTTTTGACCATCTATGAATATTATGTCCTGAAAATCTTTTTTTTTTTTTTTTTTTTTTTTTTTTTTTTTTTTTGAAAATCTTTTTTTTTTTTTTTTTTTTTTTTTTTTTTTTTTTTTTTTTTTTTTTTTTGTTTCTTTTTCCAAAACTGAGTGCAGTTGTATAGAAGGGAATTTGAAATGAAAGAGGTATCTGAATTTGATATTGTATTGAGTTTTATTCTTCCCTGGAAAAACCAATAGAAATTCATATTTATTTCAAACGACCACTTGTCTGAATAGACTCAATTAATTTGTGTGAAGAACATTTTAGTATAATATTGTCTGATTATCTTCACATTGCAGGTGCAAAGAGGTCCTTGCCAATGCGAATTTCCCCAATACTGCGACTCCGAAAGATGAGGTGAAGTTCTTTCAATGGAATTTGAGGTTTTTTACCAGATTCAACAATCTGATTTAGAAAATTTGAGTTTAACCGAGTCTCAGAGTCCTTCAAATAGATGAACGGGAGAGATTAATTGTGCATCTTGCAAGGAATAGTTGAATGAGGATGTCACGGTCACAGATGTAGTTATAGATCTACTTGCTGGGTATCTAAAGGGTTCTATTTGAGATTTCTTCGTTTCTTCCTTATTTTTGGTTGTTCACACAATTTGGCTTCATCGAGAGAATCGAACTATCTTATGTCAAGAATACAGTTTTGGGAAATGTTACTTGTACGTCAGGAATACAAACTTTCAAACAACTTCCTGTGGACAAATTGATTCCTAAGTTTACTGGGTTTGCATTTATGTTATGAACATTTTAACTTGAAAATTTCATATGCTAACAAAAATTTATGCATTTTTTTTCAATTATTGTCTCTTCAAATGTCTTTCACTGGCAAGTCATAAGCAATTTACGATAATAGACAATCATGGAGTCATTTACAACTTTGAGCTGCTTTGCTTCTTTGAATCCATTTCTTTTGCATCAGTGTAAAAGGTAGCATATAAAACTAAAAACGGCAGAATAAATAAATTCACCCTAAGCTTTCTTAATTTAACCTCATGGCATCCTCAATTTTTTTTCTAATTCATCAAATACTTCAATTTATGAAAGTATATCTATTAAACAATTTACTTTTCAAAATTATTTCATTGAATATTTTAACTTGCAAAATTAGATCAATTAAGTATTCATTAAAAAGTTGAAATTTATAAAAATTATTGTTTCAAAAATCATGTTAACTACATATCAAGTCGATATTTTACAAATAAAAGTCAAAAACCTTAAAAATTATTGTTATTATGTCGAAAGATGTCTAATATTATTAAAATTTATAAATTCAAGTGCAACTTTAAAAATTATTGATATTATGTCGAAAGATGTCTAATATTATCAAAATTTATAAATTCAAGTGCATGATAAGTCATCTGCAAAGCTTAGGATGCTTCAACGCTAAAGTTCCAAAGTTCATGGGTGAATTTATATATTCAGCCAACTAAAAACTGAAGTGTATAATAAAAAGCTTTTTGGCGCTCTTAATGTTTACAAGGTACTTATTATATACCTTTAAAGTTGTGAATTTAGGCAATGTTACACATCTCTTTTTACTAACAACAATAATATTTTTTAATATTTTTGGATTTTACATGTAATATATCGATTTAATGTGGTTATATAATTTTTAGAATAATTATTTTCACATTTTTAATTATTACATAAGTGTTTAATTAATCTATTTTAAAAGTTAGAGTGTTACAAATTTAAGTATTTTTAACTATTACATAAATGTTTAATTAATCTATTTTAAAAGTTAGAGTGTTACAAATTTAAGTATTAAATGAATCACCGTAAAAGATACCATTTTTTATGTAAACACGAGTGAGTTTATGCCTTACTCTCTGTTTTTTAAATGCTAAGGGTCAGTTGTATAAAAGTTGATAGCTCTTGGATTCTTAAGAGACGGTGTAAGTCGGTGAATGGTAAGAAAATCCTAAGTGGATAGTTGGGCTGAGACTATTTTTTCACGTACAATTATAAATGTTTTAACTTATCTTTATTTATAGAAGAGGAAAACGGAAAAATTACGATTTTGTACGTGTTTTGCCAAAATTAACCTTGTATTTTCAGATATACACTAAATAGTCACTGTATAGTACATTTGTTAAACCAAGTTGCCCGTACGTCCAAAAACACCCATTTTTTCCCGTTAATTGAACCTAAAAAAATATAACCTTCATACTGTTGGCAAGAAACCTAAACCGAAAAGGGGAGCGAAGGTGTCTTTCTAGTTGAGCGAGGAATTTTTCGCTGTCCAACCTGTTGCCTATGAATTGAGAAGGGAGCAGAGGAACCAAAATACCAGTTCAAATTACATTTGTCAAGCAGAGTAAATTAACTAAATAAAACAACATGTTAATAAACTTCCGACAAATGCCCACGTAAGTGGAAGTTGAACTTGAGACCTTTTAGTCCAGAGCCTCAGCTATAAACACTTTGCCAAAGTCTCATTCAAAACTGGGATTACTACTTCAATTTGAACCAAGTAGAAGCACAAATTGCCTAGTAGTAGTAATATCATAGGCATAAATTGCCAATATAAATATGCATAAAACTCAAACTGCCCAAAAATATAGGGCAGCACCAATATAAATATGATCAACCCCACAAGTCAACAATGGTGAGTGAACCAAACACGTCGAAAACTCAATTATCCCTTTTCTAATAAGTCATCCCTAATATTCCCAAATCCCAAGAACATCCTCTTAAACATGTACACTATGCAAATCAAAGCTATCAAAAGATCATTGTACTAATTGGTTTAATAGTCAGCTTCATACATTCTTACACTTTTTGTCTGCCTGATTACCTCCTCACTGTTGCATGTGGAGACAAAGTATCTCCCGACATGTCACTAAGCATTAACAAAAGAAAATAAGTATTGCATAGTCTACAAAGATTCTAAAGAAAAGCTTACAAATTTGGTACAGGGAGCTACAATTGCATTTGTTTCCTCTATAGACTACATTCATAACTAGTTGTTTTAATCTATCTTCCAAAGGGGAAAAGCAGTTTCTTGTTAGGATACGAGATCGCCTGATATGTGTCCTGCAAAGGTTAAATCAGCAATCAGCATTACCAACATCCTAAAAGGAAAAAAAAAAAAAAAATCTTCCAAAGGGGAAAAGCAGTTTCTTGTTAGGATACGAGATCGCCTGATATGTGTCCTGCAAAGGTTAAATCAGCAATCAGCATTACCAACATCCTAAAAGGAAAAAAAAAAAAAAAGAATAATAGCAAGGAATTAACAGCGAACACATCCAGAAACCAAGACAGCAAGGCAACTTCATACATTGTATTGGACTTAAAAAATATGACACATCAAATCCTCCTCCTTTTGAGGTTTCTCCTTTCTTCAATCATTCAAGGCCACGTGTAAAAATCACAATTGAAGCACCATTCCTTGCCTAAGGTGGTGTTTGCCTATATTACTAATTTTTTATGCAAGCATTTTCTAAGTCTGAGTTTTTCTCATAAAAAAATAGAGCTTGCTACTGAATAAACACTTATCTGAACCATGAACTTCCTCCAATTCTCGACAAGATAACACAAATTAAAAGAAAAGTGTGTGATTCCTGTCTTAGTTTAATTGAAATTTTGTGAGTAATATATAGATAAAAGCTATCAAATAACTTAAGCCTTGAAACTTCCAATTTTAAGTGTTGAAGTCTTATCAAACTCCCTAACTAATTTTTCATTCATGCATTTTCTATGTCTAAGTTGTTCTCACCATGAAAAGAGCTTGCCACTGAATAAATACTCATCTGAACCATGTACTCCCTCCAATTCTCAGACAAGATAGCACAAATTAAAGAAAAAGGGTGAAATTCCTGTAGCAAATAGAGCTTGTTTGATAGCAGTTGCCTTAGAATTCACAACTGTAGGAAACCTCACCACACGTGATGATGATTATCTTTGCATATGTCATTGGGATTGGTATCCTATTTGTCACACTTTATAAGATTATTCTTCCAGTCATATCCAACAGCTTGATTTCCCTTATGGATTTCATTACTAGTTGTTCATAGAATTCCAATGGTTTGATTTCATCTACAGTCACAAAACTAATCTTAAATTCCAATTTATCTTTAGCTTTTAGTTTCACAATAATCAGATCGATTTTTGAAAAATTCAGTTCGAGAATTGAATTCTGTAACTTTTTTGGAGTTTTTCAATATAAAAGAAAATATAAATTAAAAAGAAAAAAGAAAGAGAATGAGATTCTTTGTTTTTCAGTTTTGTCATTCATTGAGATTTTTTTTTAAAGAAACACAAACAAGAGATAAGAAAGAGTGAGGACATGCTAGACAAGAATAAGCATACTCCTAAAACAAATGACCTGTAAAGCCTAATGGCTGTTCCAGTTAAAAAATGAGGGAGATACTTGCTTTTTGCATTGAAAGCATTTGGAGGAGCATCTCTCTAAGTTTATCTTCTAAGGTTCTCTGTGGTGGATGTCCCCATGATGTTAAAGTAATAACGTTATATATACCTTGTATAAGAATTATAAGGTGATGAAGAATTGTTTCTGGAACAATTAATGATTTGTTTACCATTTTACTAAGTCTTCTCAAATTAAAAATGAAATCAGCTTTAATCGTAAGGATATTGCATGTCACACTTCCACAATAGGATGTGAAGGACATTATAAGCAACACCAAATAGGAAGATGAAATATTTTGTCAAGACCATCCGAAACTCCTCAATAGAATTCTCCAGCACCATGAGTTAGGCAATAAAAATGCTTACCATGCATGCATTTAATGAAGTAATCCAACTCGCCAAAGCAAATTGCTCCTTGAAACAAAGGAGATGGCTGTTGATATACAAAGAATGAAAAGTGACGGCGATCAGGGTCATTCCGAGGCTTTGCCATCTCAACCACCTTCATGCACCCTTCTCTATCATAACATGAAAGCATATTCACACCAGAAACTGTCAATCCTCGATCCCAAGCAGAATTTAAAACCTGCAAGAAAAGAAGTTGATCTATAAACACCTATGGCCATCATCAAACTTAACAGCAAAAGAGTTACTTAGAACATCCAAAAAATTTTATAGTTCATGGATATTAAGGAAAATCAATATAGTACACGTATTCCTAATTAGTTTATGATTTGTATTCCTAAATAGCTAGGTAGCATAGGAATTCCTTATATATAGACCTCCCTAAATAGGCTAGGTAGCATAGGAATTCCTTTATATATTAGGACCTATGTAATTCGTTGATGAGATACAAGAAACAATTACAATATAATCTCTCAACATGGTAAATCAGAGCCTTTTCCATTCCCAAAAAAAAAAAAAAAAAGAAAGAAATTTCCAAAACTCCCTTACAAGAAGCCACTGCCACCCTAGGAGCCTTTCTAGGGTTAGTATTTTGCCTCACTGCCCCACCCAGGATATTCTATACAACCGCCGATCAAAGCGACTTCCCCAGAATCCGGTTGCCGGAATTCCACGGATTCCAAGCGAATGGCCACCACTCGCCACCTCTTTCTTCCTGCTCTGGTTCATGCGCTAGTGCATGTCCAATGGTCTTTTTCACTCCGGTTCCTCTCTCCGACGTTGGCTTGAAGAGAGACATGCAACCCAGTGAGTTGCATCGTCATTCTTGGGCTTATTCGATAGGTTTGTTTGCTGCGATTCTTTTGCAGCTGTGTCGAGCAGTCCTCTACTGCTGTTGTTGCTTTAATTTGCTGAGGAAACATATTTTTCTATCTTTTCCCTTGTTGTGACAATTGTTTTTGGTATTTTTTGGTCATTTTCTAGTGATTCCTTATTGCATTAGGGTTTGGTACTACACCTTTGCTCTACAGTTATGGGTATTCTGCTTTGAACCTTCTCCTTTGTCGAGAGCAGTACAACCCCAATGAGTTGCATTGTGTTCCTGGCCTTCAGTGGTGCGCTCCATTTGCCAGATTTTTCTTTGCTGCGTTTCTGAATATCTGCGCTACTGGGCTTCCTCTTTGGGGCATTGATTATGGAAGCTTGAAACAGCCCTGTGAGTTGTTTTCTGGTTCAGTGAGATTTGTTTCGACAACCTAAGTTTGTCTTTAATTCTGCTACTACTATTTGCGTTTGGGATTCTATATTGCTATAATGAAGTGGGTTACAGTTGCTGAGTATTGTATTGTGCTTTTGCTGAAAGTTAGTAGTATGTAACAAGTTTGAGCATTGATTAACATCTATGCTCCAACTTGAGGGGGGAGTATTAAGGAAAATCAATATAGTACAGTATATTCCTAATATTTATGGGGGGGATTGGTATTCCTAAATAGCTAGGTAGCATAGGGAATTCCTCTATATATAGAACCTATGTAATCAATTTGATGAGATACAAAAGGGAAATTGTAACAAAATTTACAATATAATCTTTTCAACAATTGGAAATAGGGGATATAAAGGGACCATAAAAGGGTTAATCACCTGCCAACTCAAGCCCTCAGGATCAGTTCCTAAATAGCTAGGTAGCATAGGAATTCCTTATATATAGACCTATGTAATCAATTGATGAGATACAAGAAATACAATTACAATATAATCTTTCAACAATGGAAATAGGGGATATAAAGGGACCATAAAAGGGTTATCACCTGCCAACTCAAGCCCTCAGGATCAGCAAGCGCTTCATCACTCTCCTGACTAGGAATTTGCAATCCTGAGCAAGCAAATTTCATTGTTACTGAATGCTTTTTCAACAGATCAAAAACTGTAGCATATCCGTCATGGTTTGTGGGGTTATGGTATCCTGCTGTTAGCTCGGCTGCATGGCTTGCAGTCCTATACCACCAATAAACAGCTGGAATCTGCAAAAGAGATCTTTTATTTAGATCTTGATTTTTTATCCATAAGAAAAAAAACCCCACCATCATTACTGATGTCATCAACTCGATTACATTCATATTATGATCAAAACAACATAATGATTTCCAAATCTTCCATTTGTAATCAATCCATTGCAAAATATGTAAGTCGAATGAAATTAATAAATGAACAGCTTTATTCCATGTAAGTGAAGGCAGAAATGAAAAGCAGGGGCTACATAATGTGATCCCACAGCAGATGTAAGCGGCAATTGTTATGTTCAATCAACCAGGATCTTGTCACGGGCCTATTAACAGTAAAATCTGATTCAAAAGCTAAAGCTTTTGTTTTACCAAAATTCTTTCCTCGACCTATTGCTGCTGAAAATTGCGAGCTCGTTAAAAGGGAGCTCTACTCTTAGGCTTGTTAAAAGGGAGCTCTAATCTTAGACTCGTTAGAGAGAGTCTAGATCTCAATTTAGTTGAAAATAATTCTGCTTGTTTTATTTCACACTTGAAGCCTCCAATTTATAGAGGATACAAGTACTACTTAAAGTAATTCTATTATAATGAGATCTCCTACCATAAATAAAATAGGAAACTAGTAAATGGGAAGACTACTAAAATAGAAAGACAACTAAATAGGAAGATTACTAAATAGCAGATCTCCGGCCAAAAAAAAAATAGGAAACTACTAAATAAGAAGACTACTCAATAGAACTTCTAAATGTAGAAGACTGCAAATATCATAATTTAATTGCATCTCTAACAGCGGAGAGGGGCATAGGAGACAAAGAGGGGTTCAAGGAGAGAGGAAAGTGAAAAAAACACAAATGACTTTATTTAAAAAATATTAATTTTTTAAATGCAAGTTTGGTAAATTGGGTCATAGATGCAACTATTTTTGCAAAATTGGAAGAAAATTGGCAAAATTAAAAGTTAAGACCAAAATGACAAAAACACAGATAGTTTTGGATATTGGTCACCAGACCTAATCTTAATAATAATAATAATAATAATAATAATAATATTTAATATTTAATATTTAATATTTCTGCATAAAATAAACTATGTCACATACTTACCTTAACAATTATCTTGGTATCCTCAAATGCAAGGCTTGCAAGAGATAAAACATTATCCGCATGGTCTATCAAAGTTTGAGCATACCAATGGAGAAAAAAGCGCCCGAAGTAACTATCATAATCACCTCGTTCACAGAAGAACCCAGTTTCATGTGGCCTAGAATTATAGTGACCGGCATTATCAGGCCCCCTGGCCCAAAATGAATGACCACGCAATTTGGCTGCTATGCGAAGACTTTGTTGAAGATATTTGTCATAGCACTGTACAAAAGCAATCAAGTTCAGAGAAGTACAGAAGGGGAAAAACTTGGAATTTTAGCTGCAAGAAGCAATATCGCTGTCCACCAAGGAATCAATATGACCAGAAATATACATGTGATAATAACATATTATAGGACAGTGATCATCAATTATTATATTAGGAATCAAAATCCTGATAGTGCCATAAGGACTAAAGCAACTAATGATAAACCGCCATGCCTAGAAACAAAAGGATCAGAATATACACATATACAAGGCATTACCATGAAATATTGTAAACAAAATTAAAACAACAGAAACAATTGAATGAAAAACACATGAGGATTATGTTAGATTACTTTGATACAATGCCTATTGCAGTTGTCTATTCAAGTACAGAGAAAATTAGGATCTTAAAAATTTGAAACCATTATCTAACATAAAAAATTAACCATTTATCATAAAATATTTGCTGATTGTGTTCAATTAATTTACATAAAATATCAAGGACATAAACAACCATTCTTGTAACATATTTGTTTTTAATACGAGCATTAGTTGTGCATCATAGAGATATATACATAAGCATATTAACAGTGCTGGAATCAACCTATAGAGGAAAGCACACTAAAAACAATGTGCCAGCATTTGATAACCTCTTTCTAGATCCAGAACCAGGTAATATGGGACTGGCTTGAATAACCAGGTCCAGAAACACATATTAACGACCAAAGAAACATGAGAAACAATGAGAAAAAAAATGCAAACCAGACGAGGAAGAACATGCAAATAAGAACAAAATAAATAAACATAGTACAAGACCCAGGTCTCCTTGGAATGACTTTCTTTTATACATCACGCCTATGAAAAGGATGTACCAGCTGGTTCATACTAATGGCACCCATCACAAAGCAGTTTTAAGACTCAGCTATTCATATTCTTCTTCAACTTCATTTCAAAATAATGCCCTGCATTTGAATAAGTGGTTGCTTCGAGTGTATTATTCAAGGACAAACAAAGAAAAGACAGCAAACTAGTTGAGAGAATCCTTAGAGATAACGCAGTTTTAAGAATTAACTTCCCTACTAATACCTACTATACAAAGGCTCATTTTAATTTCTTTTTCTTTTCTTTTCCTTTTTTCAGAAGAAAAGAAAAATTATTGGGAAAGAAATAGAAAGTATGTTGTCCATGATAAGGTATCCTCCCAAAAAATTCAGCAAAAAACCACAAATAAAAACATAAAGAAAAAGCTAAGAAGTAAATTCCACCAATGGAGATGGATAACACCCAAAAAAACACCTAAAGGCATCCAAGGCATAAGCCCGTCTAGAAGCCAAAAACACCTTGCTCGCAACAAATTAAGAGCAAAATTCTTTCTTTTGCTGTCCGGTCCTGGCACTCATAGAACCTATGGTCTTTGAGCAGCCCAATGCTCATTCACTTGTTGGGTCAGCATACGGCACAACGAGAACAACAAGAAAGAGAGATTGAATTGCGGGAAAGTGCCAAATTCTATCCAAAGACCCTATAACAAAGCAAAAAGTAAAAGGCATAAACATCCAAAGAACTTTGGCATTTTTCTTACCGCCAAATTCTGTCCTTTTTGGCTAACGATTGTTAGTATTAATCTTATGGAGAATTGCATGCCAAAAAAACCCTAGCAGCACTTTAACTTTAAAATTTTGTTGGCTAAGTGAAAAGAATATAAAATAACTTACAAGAGAATTCTTTTAGAAGCATCCAAATACTGAAATTTTCAATCTGCTTTAGGAAGTAATTGAACAAAATTACAAGAAAACAGGCTGCAAGGATAATGTTGTTATCTCCCTATCAAGTGTGCTACTGCCATGACTATGATCAGTTAAATTTTCCAAAGACGAATCACAATATAAAGTAGGACATATAAGGGGAACATTATGATATATGCTGCCCATCTAATATTCTGATGCAATCTACAGAAAAGCCTCATGACCCACAACACAACAGCAAATGACTTGGAATGAACCTAAAAGAAATACAACAGAAAGGAAAGATATTTCTAGGGTCAACTTAAACAGATACCTGAAACTCACCAATACCAGGATATCTCCATCCCATCCTCTCAGGAAAAGATGGGTACTTCAGTTCCCCAGATGCTCCAAGTCCTATTTCAATTGCAGTAATTATACCCTCTGTAAACAAGTCGTCAAACTCCATTCTGAAGCTTCTCATGAAGTCAAAATAAACCTGCATATATTTGAGAATTATAATGGGAAAAAGGAAATGCAACAAGCATTTGTAAAGAATACAAGAGAACTAAAAACCATCAGAGAAGGAACAAGTACTGATTCATAAGAACATTTTAATACCTCAATGCCAGTTCTTCCTTTCAGAACTCGCTCCTTGTCAATACCCCAAGATAGGCATTCAGTATTCCTCCTTCCTTCACGATCTGTGAAGAATATATCTTGGTTCTCTTTTCCAATCTCTAAAACCCATTGAGGAAGGGGGATTAAAACTCCACCAGAGTCAGTTCCTCCATATTCATGAAATGCCATTACAACCTTCAAAATTAAGAAACAGGTTTAGGCATTCACCAATCACGAGATAGGTGTTTTCCACGTCATGACGAAACCATAAGGAAACAAGTAAATGAAAATTTAATGAGGGAATCACCTAAAAGTTTCTAATAAGTTATATATCCCATTCACAAGAAACAAACACCAAATCCAGCCTAAGGCAGGGATGAATTGCCAACTACTTGTTCAAGAACAGCATGTTAAAACTTGAGGCAAGAATAAACATATAACCAGAAAGATAATGTAGATATTTTCTTCCTCCCTCTGATAAGTAGTTATATTCAGTTATAGAGAGAATCAATTTTGGAAAACTTGGGTGGTTTAAGAAATTTACAATTAAACATTTTATTGTCTCAGATTATGCATATAAATGCTTGCAAGCATTATAGACCTTGCCATATACCTGTCACACAGTTTCAGGAGGAGAAAAAAATTACGGAGTAAACATGCCAATACTAATACACTTAACCATATTAGAAAACACTAATCTCAAGCAAATGAGGACATCCCCACAAACAAAATCTCATTTAAAGAACTACTAACAACTAAAAATTCTTCACTAAAAGAAACGCTTTCAATTTTGATCTTGCACATAGGATTTCATGTAAGAGAATCAAATAAAGCATCAATAATTACATATTTTGATTTGTCAATTTAACTGCTGATAATAGCAAAACGAATTGCCTCTAAAGATTATTCTGATGTTAAAGCAGGTCTCTAGTTCAATTAACATGCAAGTCTGACTTCTGCAAAACATGGCATCTTATAGGTACAATAACATTTAGATGGGGAATTCTTTGCATAATCATTTAGTACTCCCTATAAAAACAAATGATTCATTTTGACCAAAATATCAAGAAAACTAATGCAACATATAAACAGCAGACAATAAAAAGTTTGACATTTATGGAATGCATTACCTGCAATTTCAACTTGTATTCCCGGATTATATTAAACAATTCCCTATAGCCAGACCATACATATTTCTGAGGGCTCCATGCTTCAGCAATTCCCCACCAGCATTCTACAATGACACCATCTATTTCTAAAGAATTCATATGGCTTAGCTCCTGTCTAATACCTTGTGGATCAACCAGCTGGCAGAAGTTATTGACAAATCCAGTCTGTCACAGTGATTCAAGATTAGAAAAAGCACTACAATTATTATAAGTTAATTGTCACAGGCATTCAAAGAAAAAAGGTTACAAGTTCCATACGAAAAAATAGAATCACCAGATGCTAAAACATCATAACAGATAAGCAAAGATAAGTGCAAATGAGCAAATAGAAGCCTCATAGGGGTTTGAACTACAGTAAATTAAAGCAGGAAGAAGTAGAAAGAAAAACTTACAGCAAGCATTGCATAGACAGGGACGTATGAAGTGCCTGAAAAATCACCCTCATGCTCACCCGAACGAACATCTTGTATAAGCTGCATCAGTCAGCCAACATAAAATATGATTTTAGAGCTTAAAATATACAGTAAATTCATAGGAATTATCTTAAAAGAAAAAACTAAATCATCAGACACCTCAAACAATAACAATTCGCTAGGGCTAGGCTAATGGCCTCTGACCAAGGAAATACTTCCTATGGCGCACCCTGACCTCAACCTATCAGTTGTCTGAGTGTTTCCTGACTGATGCCTTAGTGCCACATGCAAGGAATTAACCCAGCATATCACAGTGCCTATAGGACTGAGGTGCATTGACCTGGGGCATTGGGGAAAAAATTATGTTTAGAATTTACACTCACAGTTCTAGCCACCTCATTTATGGGAAGAAAGGGAAGAGAAAAAGGGACTGGGGAAAAAATGAAAATTCAGAATTTTAAAAATATCAGTGGACCACCAAATAGGGCCAACACAGTTTAGACGAAAAATAAAGGGAAGCAAATTGCAAAAACAAATCTACAGCAGCAACATCCAATAGGACCAGGGATTGTGCCAACGGTTCTTGACTTTTTTTTGTCCTTCACAGTTGGATGCCATATTTCAGTCAGTCAGCTGCTGGTTAAGTATCTACACTTTTATCTTTGATTTTAGAAAACTAAAGAATTTCAGTGCTTTCTAGTTTTCTAGGTTGGACTGCACATACTGTCTAAGGTACTCATTTTTAAATCTTTTACTATACTCGAGTCCTTCCTTATTACAAGACTTTTATGATAGGCCTACTTTGAGTAATAAGCTTATAATGCTTGTTTTTCAACAAAAGAGGTGATCAATAAAATCAAAGAGATTTTCAGTCAATTGAGCTCCTTTTGGATTGTGCATTGCAATAATGGACCTTGCCCATAATGCTTAAGGAAATCTAGATATATAAAATTTTGAATCTCAATATTTCTTTTGCCTTCAATTTTGCAAGCAAGTTCTAATCCAGTTCAGATTTATAATTTTTTAGGTGAGGTCGTAATAAATTTCTCCTTCAAGTAGCCTCAAAAGTATTAAATTACAGGTAGTGTTGAGAGTCCAAGGCAGTTAGATGGCAGTTCAAATGCAATAACCAACAGGTTCATATTCCTTTTCTTCATTGTGCTTAAAAAATTCTATTTGATGTAATGTTATTTTGATGAAAGTTAGACATATCCTTCTTCATCAGCCTTGATTTTTAGGAAAGAGATAAACTCTGGGGAAGAAAAAAAATATATATGTATTTTTGTTTGGAAACAAAAGCATTGTTTTAAAGCACAGGAGTTCAGCCGACATCAAGAAGCATGAAGAAGAAAAACCATCAATAAATGGCTTTTTGTCTATCCACTACAATTACTAGCTCTTTTGTTATGAAGTTTCATCATATAGTTGTCATCTAACACGATAAACCAACTCATATGAGTTTAAATTCATTAAACTTAAAAATAATAGAAAACAAAAACAATGGAGTCTTCAATAGCATTTTAATTCCAATCATCCTCCAATACGAACATAAACAAAAAAGGAGCATATTCACAACATAAGATTAACAGCTCTGCATTAGTCACAGACGTTGAGCAACTAACGCAAAACTAATTCAAACAAAATACCTGATCAGCATCCAAGCAATCAACTGAATTGATAGGGCTGGCACCAGCAAATTTCTCACTCCTTGCATCTCTCTCTGTCATTACCACAGAATCAAGAGACGCCGGCGACAAGCTATCATCTATTCTCAGAACAGAAGGCTGACAGTCCAATGCAACTCCTCTCGCAGAGGAGCTCTTCAAAGAAGTATTTGAAACTGGACTTTCCACTGATTTCACAGCAAATGATGTCTGACCCATTGCCAAACAAGAGTTCAAAGTAGCCATTTCAACGAACCAAGTATATTACATATAATTAAAAAAAGAAATGAAACTAACCATTTGGGAAGGAGGAGGAGATTGTCTATAAGTGGTGCCATCAGCTTCAACAGTCCAGCCAGCCTCACGGGCCAGTGCAGCAAGTACATCGTTCATGTCTGCACGCGCAGGAAGAGGGAAATTACCATATTGCCTTAGTCCCGCCAGCATTCGGCTTGTGATAGCTCGGCGATGGCGCTCTCGAAGCTTGGTTCTCTCTTTCTCTTTCTCCCTCTCTCTCTTGCCTTTACCAGAGACATTGACGGAGACCGAGTTAGTGGGGTCAGCTGCTGCGGCGGCTGCGGCTGTGGCGGCGAAGCCACGAGGACGACGGGGTTGAGGTTGGGATTGGTTTGGCTGGACAGGATGGGGATGAGGAATTGGGGTTTGGATTTGAGTTTGGGGATCCAGAAGAAGATGATCTTGATTGTTGGTGTGATTGTTGGTTGTGTTCATCTTCGCAATGGATTTGGTTAATTATTACATCATGCAACAACTCAACTCCCTTGTACTCGCTGCACTACAAGTTTTATCAAAGGAAAGGAAGCCAAGGACTTCTTTTATTTAAATAAATAAATATATTTTTAACTATTTTGCATGGGATGGGATGGGATGGGATGGGAACATAGAAATCAAATCAAATCAAATCATTTTATGGGTTGGGTTTAAATTGGGTTAAACCTTCAACACGACTCGATATCAGGCCGGATTGATTTTTTATTTTTTAAAATAGAAAAACCATTATCTTATGGAACTTTGAGGTCCCTCTTTCACTACTAATTATCAAAAAGTAACATGTTTTCTGTTTGAATTATATTTGCGGGTTTTGCTTAAAAAAAAAAAAAAAAAAAAAAAATATCAGGCCGGATTGATTTTTTTATTTTTTTTTAAAATAGAAAAACCTTATTCTTATGGAAACTTTTGAGGTCCCTCTTTCACTACTAAATTATCAAAAAGTAACATGTATTTCTTTTGAATTATATTTGCGGGGTTTGCTTAAAAAAAAAAAAAAAAAAAAAAAGACAAAAGATAAAAAAAAAAAAAAAAAAAAAAGACAAAAGATTCCTGCATATACTTGATTAGAACCCATCTGGATTCCATTCTTTTTTTTTTTTTTACTGTTTTCTTATTTGAATTTGGGTTTATTGTGAATTTTATTAGCATTTCATTGTATTCAATACTAAATGGCAGCTTTGGTTCAGACCTGCTGATGCATAAAATTGCACGTTTCAACCCCACAAGTTGAGAAAAAGTAAAACAATTATCTTTACTCTTATACCATTGAGATATCAAGGCAGGCAGGCACACTCTTAATTTGTTGATCAAAGGCATGAGTTTAAAATCAAGCAAACAGCTCATCAGCACCTACTACCTACCACACCAACAGACAACGCGAGTCAAATATCGGGTTCATGCTTTTTTCTAGTTCCTGGTCTAGAACTTGCATTCGTTCCGCTATACCACCTGTTAAATGCAATTAGTATCTTTTTCTTTTTTCAATTTTGTTTCAATTTAAGAAAGCTACAAGGTTAAGATGAGAGGACCTTTTTGCTTCAGACACTATTTAAACATCGTCCATCCAGTGAAGGGGTAAAAATCATGAGACAACAAATTCTATGCTGCCACCACGGCACCACCCCCCACCCTGTTCTCTAAGATACCACAAACTCCAAAGCCATAGTTCCAAATGTTGGAACCAAAGCCGATAATCAATGTCCGGATGGAAAAGGACTTAAGCTTTTTGTCACAAACTAGTTTTAGAATTCATTTTGTCACGCTGGAGTTCTGTGGGCAATCGGATTTGCAAAATAACCTTCCTTCAGTTCTCTGCATCCAATGAACCAGATCTGCAAACATCCCCGCGGCAAAGTGGACATACCCTGAAGCCACAAGTTACCAGATGCTTTTATATCAGAAACACTGAAATTAAATTAACATATTTAAGTAAATCATCCAGCAGCAAGAACATCATAATTACCCAGAAAACAGAACCCATAAGGCCAGCAATTTCATTTAGTGAACAAAATAATGAATGTTGAAGTGAATCAGGCAAAGCACATAACAGGTAAGTTCGCCATCGATTAGAGACCAACACCGACCAACAATTCTGTTCAGACATATTTGAATGATGTACGGTATTATCTTGCAGAAGACAAAAACATATGCGGGATTCGTTCCTTCTCACAATTCTATAATACGTTCCAAAAAAGTCACAATCTTGACAGCCATCCTCAGAAATTCTGCTCTTATTCTAGCTACTCTTCTAGGCATTTTGCTCTCCTTTGTTCAATCTTCAATTACTTTAATCAGTTCGTTTCAGCAATTACTATTCAGCACCAAAATGGAACTGTCATATAATCTTGTATGTATCTCTACTTTCAAACAGGTCTAATTGACAATAGAGACAAAAATGATTATGATTTACTTGTTCCTGAAAATATTTTATCCCCTAAATGTCTTAGAGAATTAAGAATTCTAACTTCTTTCAATTTTAAAAACCGAAATGATATTCATATAAAAACAGAAATTTTCAATGTTAGTAAAAATAAACTAATCCAATTCAAATTTTTTCTCTGGCCCCATTTTCGATTAGAAGATTTATCTTGTATGAATCACTATTGGTTTGACACTAATAATGCCAGTTGCTTCAGTATGGTAAGAATATATGTGTGTGTGTGTGTGTGTGTGTGTGTGGCAGACATCAATTGCTTAGAAAAATAAATTTGAAATAAATAAATAAAATAGTACATTTAAAAAATGCACAATTTGATAATTATAGTTTAAAAAACACTATGGCTTAGTTTCTCTACTCCAACTTTCTTTTTTCCTGATCAAAATTCAGTAACACCTGACATCTTTCATCTCAAATGAAGAGCTTACCATTCATCAACGAACTCAGAATTGTGATAGAAAAGCAAGATTAACAAACCATGAAATTTAAGCCTTTTAGGTATTTCTTTGGTTTTATTATTGGTGATTTTGAGGTTGTTTGGCAGAGGGATCTATCGATTGACATTGAGTTTCTGTACACAAACACACCAAAACAGGAAGTTTGGTTTGAATGCGGTAGCTTACCTTAAAATTGGATACTTCAATATCAAATGGTTGGCATTTCAAACATTTTACATTCTAACTAGGTCCATCAGAACCATAATAACAGTCATGCATTTCTTAGAGAGAGATCAGACCTTGTTCCTTGGGGGCCGTGAATGCAATATCACTAGTGTCACTAATCCCAACAGTAGCGCAATGCAGATAATCGATCATTACATAAGCAATAATAACAAAAGCAGGAGTTGTCAGACAAATCTCCAAATTAATCTTACTAGAATTGCAACAAGTGCATGGTAAGAAACCAATTGCTCACAAGATTGCAAATTTTCCTATATCAATAATTCAACACTGAGGTTGAAACCGAGTCATATTTACAGTTTGCTTCAGGATTATTTGACCAATGGACTAATTCAACATCATATAGTGGTGGGCTTTTCGTAGACGAGTAAAGGATGACAACCAGGAAGAGAACATGAGCAAATAATTTTCTATTCAAGAAAAGAAATCTGAACTTGCAATTTCTCAAAAAACTTCATATCATATTTTTTTTGTTCTTTTTAATTCTCTTACAAATAAATTACTGCCATATGCATGTGACGTTGGCGTCATCCATACATACACATTGGTCAGGAATTTTGAATTATTAAATTAAGCATGAATGTATAAATGTGTAATGACAAATAAGGAACATTAGTTTTAGCTATAAACTGAGGATTTAAACATAGTAAAATATGCAATGAAAAACCAGTGTCATACCTGTGAATCTCCTTAAGCCACTTGTCTATACATGATGTATGAAATTCATGATGGCAAGGCAGTACCCGCATGCTGTCCCCTTCCTCATACTCCACAAGGCATATATAGCATCTGTTATCGGAAGGGAAAGTATGAGAAATTGAAAATGAATAAACAAGAGGCAATTGCATTAAAGAGACATGACCAGCCATGCTAATACATTTGACACAACTGCATTCATTTGAATACAAATACTAAGACGAATGAGCTGGGGCTTAGTGGTATTTGACTTCTCTCTAGAGCCATGAGGTTGTAAATTCAAATCCAAATCAGAGCCAAATAACCCAAAAAAAAAAAAAAAAAAGGAAAAAAAAAGCTGCTAGTGGTATTTGACTTCTCCTCTAGAGCGCATTGAGGTTGTAAATTCAAAATCCAATCAGAGCCAAATAACCCAAAAAAAAAAAAAGAAAAAAAAAAAAAAAAAAAAAAAAGGAAAAAAAAGAATGACATACTAAGAGGGTCACGGAAAAGAGTTTAATCATTCAGGCTCAACAGTCAACACCACAAGTAGGAAATGATATCAGAAGTTGGCCTAAGAAAAGGCTCTTAGCTTGGATGGAGGTTCCTGATCAACTTTTACATTTTTGAAGAAAGATACAACTCTTGAATGAGATTTTGTACACAGGAGTATGCAAAAGGAGACATTCTTTCATTCACAGCCTCGCTAATAATGAAGCATCCTTAATAATTAAACGTAAAAATTTACACCATTTGAACAGGCAAATAACAGAAAAGACCACAACTTTAAAACAAATGAAAGTAGGCCTCTAAATTCAAAATCAAACTATCAATAAATTTACATACAATCTAGCTTATATATAAGGGAGCCAGCTTATGAAACTAATTTTTCCAATGTTGCTTTTTCATGGTTTATAGACTGAAGATTTAAGTGACTGTAAGCAATTTTAGCAGGATCTCATTCTAAGAATTGAGCAAATTAATACTTGAGCATCTTAGAACTTTATGATTTTTCAGAGTTATGGCAATCCATATAGCTTTAAAGCTTTTGTAGTTTCATATACTGTACAAAAGTCATCATCCCAGACTAAAAATTTAAACATAACTAGAAATGAAAGAAGAAAAAGCATCATATAGTTCTAGACTCATTGCATCCCTAGAGTATTCATGTATGACAAAAGACTGGATGTCAATAATGGAACCAAAGACGCCATGCTTCCTCAAACAAGCTTTACACTATGTTTGGAAAGGAGAGGAAAGATAACAAGAGAGGAATGAAAATAAGGGAGGAAAAATAGGGGAGGATAGTACTATCCATTTTCCTTCCTTATTTTCCACCCTATGTTTGGATAGGAAGGAAAATAAGAGGAAAGAAAATAACATTATTACAAATTTACATTTTTACCCTTTACACATATATGGATTAGGCATTATTACACATTTTGTGATTAATTATAATTTAGCTAATTACATAGCTAATTTTAATGAATGAAAAAAATAAAACTATTAACAAATGGAATGTGCATTCCTCGTATGTTACATATGAAAAAGATGTAAGAAAAGAAAATAAAAACATCAAATTAAACAAAATGCACGAAGTCTTACTCTAATCAATTTATTTAACATTGCTGAAATAAAAAAATAAAAAAAAAAAAAAAAAAAAAACCCTTACAAAAGCAACACATTATAATTTGTAACTGTCATGACAGTATATATAAAACTTTTCTCTTTCATATTTCTATTCCAATAAAATATGGTTGTACTGAAGTAAATGAAATTATCAAAATTCTTTATAAAATTATAACTAACATTTCTTACTTTAAAATATTCTTTGAGGATTTTAACTAAAATATCATTAAAACCATTTTATGATTTTCTAGTCAACAGGAACATATGGAGATGGTTTACAGAAAGAATAGCCTCGGAAAAGTTAATTCCACAGGTTATTTTTTAAATTGACAAAAACAATCAACTTTCTCAATCTCTCCTATTTCTCTCCATTTGGAAGATTTAACTGTACAGCGTGTGAGTGGAATATTTTACATTAAATTTCTTCCTTCTAAAATTTGTCCAACCATGTTCCAAACAAGAGAGTGCCTTTCATTCCTTATTTTCCACCTTATATTTTCTTTCCTCCCATAAAATCATCTCTTACCAACAAAGGGTTAGTTGCAGTTATACTCTCTTTTTAAGTAGGCCAACCAAAATGCAACTAGCTACATCACACAGGTTTCGATATCAATTAAATACGTCACTAGTAATCCTCCTACAATATAGTTGTTTGTTCAAATTACTCTCATAAATCATTCAACAAAGCATGAACTGCCTTCATCTAAAATATGTGAAACAGAATGGCAAATAATAAGAATAAAAACTTACTGAGCTGCCGCTCATTATGATTACTTTGCAACTTGTGTATGATGACCCGAAGAATTCCACGTACTTCATTAGCGCGTGGTACAGATCCAACGATGACATGAAGTCGAAGGATAGTACCACAGATTGCTATGGTGGAATTCATCAGAACCTAAGTTTTTAAAAAATAAGCACAAAGACAATTCAACCTATTGAGACTTTAAGGAGATACCAAAGATATTGAAGGATGGTATATTCTGACCCAATGATAGCACGTACCTCTAACAAACTTCAGCTAAATGACAATTTTGATATGCTAGCTCTGGCCACTTCGGTCAATCATTTAATTGGCATCTCGCTTAGTAACACGACATGTACAACGACCGCGTTCTATGATGACCAGAAATATAACAAGACCTCTCATGTCCGAAAATTCTCAAAACGGACTTCCCAGCCGCTGAAGTTGCACAACCTCACATTATTTAATATACAAAGAGGATTATAAAAGATGGGACTTTATCCAAGCCAAAATTAGCAGCAGAGCACAGACATATTAAATCTGATAATCCAATGCAAAAATCTTTGCCCAAATAATATCCCAACCGTATTGTTTCGGCCCTTACTCTACATGTAATGAATACAGACAACATACAATACACATATTTCAGACTCAAAGTAGAAGTTCTGCAAGCCAAATATACATATGCTTTTTCTACTTGAAAAACATGTCTTATAGAACTCCATACTTAGTGCAAGATTACCCAAAACCCTGAGACCGTATTCTCCTCCTCCGCTCAAGGGAAATTTGACCCTATTTCCAGTAGGTCATGATACCTGCATTCTCTCTTGATCGTACAGTTTCCAGCTCATAGATCATGAATGCTGAACAAGGAGCCAGATGCCAGAAGGTAGGGGCCAGAGGGAGGTAACCATAAGTAGTTGGGAAAAAGAGTTCCTAGACCATCACCTTCAGGGACTCTTGCATACTCTCATTCCACCACCCAAAGCTTGTCGCCACTGAACCTGGACGGCATTCCCTCACTTGTCTTCTCTGTGTAAAAGAAAAAATGTACCACAGATAGCTTGATGATCGACGAAAAACTCTAATCACGAAGTCTTCCCACCACTCAGGGTTCGCTAAAACGAACATTACGTTCTTCTACAGGTTCCTTGTGCCTTCACAATTCGCACCTATCAGAAACTTTTAGTAGTCAAACTATCCATAATTACTTAAATCTTGAAGAATTGTGAGGAATCCATCAATCCCTGCTCTGGTGCTGCCACCATCTCTGCTTCATCGCGATGAAGAGAGGGACTTCCCATCGCTCACCATTGTTCAAAAATCAATACTTTCATTCATGTTTGCAGATTGCGGAATACTTCCATGCGTTGTGTATGAGAGGTTCTATTAACACTAATTCGGCGAGTTTCATTTCCATCAATGACACCACTGGCAGCACACCTTGGTATTGAAGATGAATTCTCTTTCTTCAATCATTAAAACATTTAAGACTCGAAGAAGGGATACTGATAAGCCTGGGATGACCCCTAAACTGGCTCTCTCTTAATCAAAACTTCACATTACCAGGAATAAAACTAAACGGAAAGGAAAGCTACTTTGAGAGTTAAAAGATGGAAGAAGAAGCAGCTCGGCAGAAAGCTTTACCATCCTGGAGCAAGTATTAGTATTACTTGTTCCACCTCCATTCATCAAGCTCAACATTAGAAGGTACCACAAGTTCCATCAGATTGTTCAACTTTTGTCCTTTCGGTAACACTCAATTTGACCTCATCTGACTCCGTTTCAGTCCTGCCCAGTAGAGAAGCATTGCCTCCATTTTCTTGCTCACATTGGTCACCATCCCCCATGTAGGCATGAGTGACATAATTTAGTCCTCGAGTAATTCTAACCTATCAACACTCTCTATAGGATTATACAAATCAATAGTAGCAAATAAAGCCTACAAAAACGGAAAAACAACAAAAAAGAAAAAAAAAAGAAAAAGAAAAAAGAAAAATTGAATGGTCCAAATAAACACATTTCATACAAATGCCACAATTAACTTTGCAATTCTTTTCTTTCATTTCTTTTCTTTTTCCTTTGTCAACTGCTTTTGAAAAAAAACAGGTAATTAGACCAGTCCCCACACCAAATGGTTGTTTAAACCTAAGGCTCAGGCCAATTACAACCGTACTTGGATGACCCCTCAGAACATTATCCTTCTTTCTTTTGGTCCATCTGGGGCATATGGACCTAAGTAAAACATGTGTCACCCTACTAATCCCACCCGACTAAATCACATTTTTTCGATATTATGGCCTAACAGTCTAAATTGAAACTTCTTTGGTAGAAGGCTCAGATCCCACCCTTAAACGTTGTAAGCACTGAAAAGTAAAACAAAATTCTAAAATTAAAAGCTATATCAAATTTCTATAAAAATTTAAACCTGTTGTTGGGAATAGGCAAGCAGCTATATGGTTTTGAGCTTATCAATTATTTTGAGCAAGGTGCAGCCACATTAAGGAAGTACAGGTTACTAGGCAAAGGTCAGCCAAGCGAATGTAAGCACAGAATTACATTGTGATAAAACCAATTGTGCAACTTTTTCAATTTGTAAATACTAAAAACCAGAATTCAAAAAATTAAAAAAAAAATAATCACTAGTAAATCATCAAAACTACAAAATACATACAATCATTACGCATAAGAGTACAAAGAAAAATTTTCCACTCACTTAGTTCATTCACAAACACAAGCTAACAGCCAAGAACCTGAATCCACATTTTCAAGGCTTTTCCAAGAAGCTATTAAGTAAAAGTTTCTTGTTTCTTCTTCCATTTCACATATTAGAGTTAAAGCTTACCTCATAATGTCCTCCTTCCTCGAATTAGTCTTTCATTCATGTATAATTTCTCAAAAGAAGCCCTAGACCTAGAAGCATTTGTGAATGGATTGGGAGCAACTTCAGCTTCAGGATTAGAGTAGCCAATTCATATTTTATTTAATTCATGTTAAATTTGTCTTTACATTTGTTTTACAAATGAAGAAACTCTAAACGTAGCTTTTTGGGGCAAATTCAAGGAAAAATGAAGAAACAACTCTCAATATTTGAAACAGCAAAAACTGTAGCTGTATTCTATAGAAATTATAACGCCACTCAAAATATAAAAACGAAGTACAAAAATACAAAGTTCATGCATGAAAAGCGTAGAAATTTATAGAGGGCAATAACAGACAAGAACAAATAACCACTTACATTTTGATCAAAAGCAAACATAATATTGAAGAAACGAAAAATAAGGACACTGGCATTATCAGTTTTATCGCCACTTTTCTACGGCCTCCAAGACAATAAATACTGGAAAACCCTACTCCTTTGCATGGACCTTAATCATGCTAATTGTGCTTACTATTTTTTTGTAATTAAAGAATACATAAAAACACTACTTTTTGGCAACTCTCGTCATATTTTTTAAGAGCAATTGTTAAGCATCTAATCTCTATAATAAATTATTCAACGCCACTCAATGAATAAACTAATCCAAAAATAGTCAATGCATTGAATGTAGAAACTACAGGAAAGCAAACTATCACAGGCCAAGAACCAAAACCCAACATCCTTTTTAAAATTCAAAAACCAAAGAAAATAAAAGAAACGAATTATAAAAGTGACTGACACGAATCATTGTCATCGTCACTTTCTATCGCGAGACCCAGAAGCGCTCCAAGACAATAAGACTTGTTAAAACCCTACCCTTTTAACATTTCCCCTTCTTTCCACTCGAACCACCGCCTTCCGCCAACACCATTCCAGTATGATAAGGATGCACCCATTAACGCGCCTTGCTTCCCACTGATCCCATATTGTCTCCTTCAAAAATGCAGTTCTAATTACCTATGTTTGCCACATTCCAAAAGGGACCCATTAAGTAATTAACCTTCAGATCGCGGTACCAGACATTTATGCCATTATAAATGCATTGATTTGAGCAATTACAATGGCGGAAATTGCACTCAAAGGATAGCCACGTGGTTTGAAATTAGCAGATCTAGAGATGATTTAGGAATGTAAATTTAGAAGTGAAGTGAGTAAAAGCAAATTTATGCGTGAATATTGAGATGAGGAATTAGATGTAGAATGGACAAAAGTAACTTGCAGAGAGAGAGAGAGAGAGAGAGAGAGAAGAGGATGGTTTTCGCGTTGCTGTTTTTCAAAAGAAATGCGGCGTGTGAAGACTCAAAGATGGAGAGAAGAGAGGAGCAGACGGAAAATGGCTGTCACTTTGAGTTTGAGCTGGATTGTTGGTTTGTGTTTTCTCTGTTTTGAATCCATTGGACTTCTACTTCCCTGGCTACGCTGTAATCAAATGTGGCAAAAAACTATACCGCATGCACTTAACATTTAATAATATATTGAAAAACTAAAAATATGTTATCCAGAAAAAAAATACATAATAAAATAAATACTACCTCCCTTTGAAACTCTTTAAATTGAGTGTCGTATTTTTTATTGGTTATTGACCAAAAACAATTTCTTCAAAATCGAATTTTGAAAGTGTGCACAATACATTAAATTAATTAAACCAAAAAAGTAATTATATGAAATAAGACAAATAATTTTTTTTCGTATTGAGACCACTAATTCAATTAATGGTTTCATTACGAAATAAAATTTAAAATTTAAATTGTCTTTTCACTAAACACTTAAATTCATCTTGTAATTTTCAGTGCAAATAGAATCTGACTATTATAAGTAAAAAAGTAATAAAGAAATAAATGTTTTATTAAGAGTTCTATCAGTTAATTAGGTTTCAATAAAAATTTTAATTACTCAAAATATCTTTTCACTAAAATACACATATGATATGTGGTTTTGTGCCACATTATTTTAAAATTAATAATCAATAATATAAGTTTCCTTACACCAGTTAAAAATACCAAGATAATAAAAATGTTCGAATTGAACTAATATTATGTTTCAAAAAGTCTTAATAATTAATAGATGGAAAATAATCATATTAAATATTACCCGCATTCCGCCTCTGTACTGTACCATTCCTACTGAATCATCATTCATTGCAGAGATCAAGTCGGCAGTCGGACGAATCGAACCGTCTCGAACCATTAGAGTCCAGAGTGGGTAAATGAGATTTAAAT